AATATTTACAATAAATTAATCATAATCCATACTGTTGTCTCTCTCTCTCTCTCTCTCTCTCTCTCTCTCTCTCTCTCTCTCTCTCTCACTGTCCTAGGTTTCTGCCTCTTAACAGGCAGTTTTTCCTTGCTTCCGTCACCAAGGTCTTGCTCATGGTGGTACTGTTGGGTCTCTGTAAATAATGTTATAAAGAGTTCGGTCTTGACCTGCTCTATTTGAAAAGTGTCCTGAGATAACTTCTGTTATGAATTGGTGCTATACAAATAAAATTGAATTGAATTGAATTGAATTTGCTTCAGCTGTGATAGATTTATAAACCCCACCCATGACGGTATTGAAGGTGAGTTGCAATCATGGGAAAGACAAAAGAGCTTCCACAAAAGCAGAGAGGAGATTATTTCATCACACCTGAAGGACCTTGGGTATAAGAAGATTTCCAAATAATGTAATATTCCAAGCAACACCATTGGGAGCATTATAAGGAAGTTTAAAACTTATGGAACAGCTGTAAACCTGCCTGGCCGTGGAAGAAAGCCCAACATTTCATCAAGGGCCCTTAGCAACTTAGTCAGAACAACTAAGAGAAACCCCTGTGTGACTGCAAGACACCTACAGGATGACCTGATGAAGGCTGGTACAAGTGCTTCAGTGGCAACTATAAGACATGCACTGAATAAACAATGACTTCATGGCTGGACTCCAAGACCCACATCATTCTTGACCACATGGAACATCAAAAGTCGACTAGAATATGCCAGGAGGAATTTGAATAAGACTACAGAGTTTTGGGAGACAGTTCTATGGACTGATGAAACCAAACTGGAGCTGTTTGGACATATGGACCAGCGATATGTCTGGCGTGCGAAAGGCCGGGCTTATGACCAGAAGAATGGGAATTAAATAAAGCAGTTGCAGTACGGAAGTACTGAAGCTGGAGGTTGAATAATGCTGCATATGTGTTAAAAGAGTTACATTCTTCATTTGAACTTCAGAGTTAAATCAACTTGTTTAATGAGGTTTTTTTCTCATTTATTGTCATTATCTTTCATCCACATCACTATGTCTTTTGAGGTGGGGGAGTTGAATATTTTTGATTGCAACTGTATATAATGTATATTATTAGTTATTAATATATAATGTATATCATTATAGTTATTAGAAATAAATGTATAATATATATTATTATAGTTATTAGTTCATGGAGTATACTATATTATATATAGTGTAGTATATATACTATAGTATATTATATATAGTATATATGTATATATATATAGTATATATATAATATACTATACTATATAATGTGAATGCAGTACTTTTACTCTGTGCTATTACTACTTTTACTTCGTTCTGCTCACACAAAGAGACAGTCTGTGTCAGGATGATGATGATGATGATGATGATGATGATGCAGATGGAGTTGGGGGGGGGGTTCCTGGTCCTGACTCTGACATTGGGGTCGTGACCTGGTGGCTCTTTCAGACATCTGTAGCTGGACATTCCCTGACACCTCCTCGTCCAATCAGCTGGAACAATGTGTGACCTGCACCCCCGAGGCCACGCCCCCCCCCCCCCTCTCTCACACACACAACACACACACACACACACACACACACACACACACACACACACACACTCTGACCTGAGGGGGAACTTCCTCTCATAAATCCAGACCAGAGACCTCCTCCAGGAGTCCTCCTCAGACTCTGCTGCCTCCTGCTGGTTCACTGAGTCTCTGTCATCAATATTCTGAACATGTATTTACAGTTTAATGTTTGTATTTACAGTTTAATATTTGTATTTACAGTTTAATATTTGTATTTACAGTTTAATATTTGTTGTTTACAGTTTACTGTTTGTTAATTACAGTTTACCGTTTGTTAATTACAGTTTAATGTTTGTATTTACAGTTTAATGTTTGTTGTTTACAGTTTACTGTTTGTATTTACAGTTTAATGTTTGTATTTACAGTTTAATGTGTATATTTACAGTTTACTGTTATTAATTACAGTTTAATGTTTGTATTTACAGTTTAATGTGTATATTTACAGTTTAATGTTTGTATTTACAGTTTAATGTTTGTTGTTTACAGTTTAATGTTTGTTGTTTACAGTTTACTGTTTGTATTTACAGTTTAATGTTTGTTGTTTACAGTTTACTGTTTGTATTTACAGTTTAATGTTTGTATTTACAGTTTACTGTTATTAATTACAGTTTACTGTTTGTATATACAGTTTAATGTTTGTTGTTTACAGTTTAATGTTTGTTAATTACAGTTTAATGTTTGTATTTACAGTTTACTGTTTGTTAATTACAGTTTAATGTTTGTATTTACAGTTTAATGTTTGTATTTACAGTTTAATGTTTGTTAATTACAGTTTAATGTTTGTATTTACAGTTTAATGTTTGTATTTACAGTTTACTGTTTGTTAATTACAGTTTAATGTTTGTATTTACAGTTTAATGTCTGTATTTACAGTTTACTGTTTGTTAATTACAGTTTAATGTCTGTATATACAGTTTACTGTTTGTTAATTACAGTTTAATGTTTGTATTTACAGTTTACTGTTATCAATTACAGTTTAATGTTTGTATTTACAGTTTAATGTTTGTATTTACAGTTTACTGTTTGTTAATTACAGTTTAATGTTTGTATTTACAGTTTAATGTTTGTATTTTTTACTGTTTGTTAATTACAGTTTAATGTTTGTATTTACAGTTTAATGTCTGTATTTACAGTTTACTGTTTGTTAATTACAGTTTAATGTCTGTATATACAGTTTACTGTTTGTTAATTACAGTTTAATGTTTGTATTTACAGTTTACTGTTTGTTAATTACAGTTTAATGTTTGTATTTACAGTTTAATGTTTGTATTTACAGTTTACTGTTTGTTAATTACAGTTTAATGTTTGTATTTACAGTTTAATGTCTGTATTTACAGTTTACTGTTTGTTAATTACAGTTTAATGTCTGTATATACAGTTTACTGTTTGTTAATTACAGTTTAATGTTTGTATTTACAGTTTACTGTTATCAATTACAGTTTAATGTTTGTATTTACAGTTTAATGTTTGTTAATTACAGTTTAATGTCTGTATTTACAGTTTACTGTTTGTTAAATTGAGCATAGCGTTAGTTCAGGCAGGGCACGAAGTCAGGCTTAGCTTTCAGTTACAGCTATATCATACGAGCACAGCTAGTCATAAACATACATCAGCTGATTCCTCAAAGCTTCCCATTGGATACCATACACAGTCAGCTGACAGCTCACCTGATTTCCTCAAGCATCCAATTGGCAAACATCACGCATGGCGCCTTATTTAAGCTGCTTTAGCCTGCCTGCCTATCTCTGCTGCTCCCTCTACAAGCCTTTGCACCCACCTCCACCCCAGCTCCTCCTTTTTATGTTGTTTCTAGTTAATCAATGTCATTTTCTGATTGCCATTGATGCTGCTCTGTTCTGTACCCTGGGGTCTCTGCTGCCGCTCTCCTTGTCCTAAACTTTTCCATGTATGCACATGGAAGGGCAGGGAGGTGTGCTCTCCCTGCCTTAAGGTTTTCCACGTAGGCACGTGGAAGGACAAGGAGGTCCCAGAACAGAGCCATACCGCCAAATGTAATTCTGCTTGGAATATAAGATATTTTGACGAAAGTGGTCCTGACTGAATTACAGTTTAATGTTTGTTGTTTACAGTTTACTGTTTGTATTTACAGTTTAATGTTTGTATTTACAGTTTACTGTTATTAATTACAGTTTAATGTTTGTATTTACAGTTTAATGTTTGTTAATTACAGTTTAATGTGTGTATTTACAGTTTAATGTTTGTTAATTACAGTTTAATGTTTGTATTTACAGTTTAATGTTTGTATTTACAGTTTAATGTTTGTATTTACAGTTTACTGTTATTAATTACAGTTTACTGTTTGTATTTACAGTTTAATGTTTGTTGTTTACAGTTTAATGTTTGTTAATTACAGTTTAATGTTTGTATTTACAGTTTAATGTTTGTTGTTTACAGTTTAATGTTTGTAGTTTACTGTTTGTATATACTGTTTAATGTTTGTTGTTTACAGTAAAATGTTTGTATTTACAGTTTACTGTTTGTATTTACAGTTTGATGTTTGTTGTTTAAACTTTATTAAAGAATATTTCCAGAAAAGAAGAAAAGGCTGATCAGATATACAGTGACAATAAGGAAGTACTGATTACAGATCAATATGTGAAAGAGACAATTATTCATCTTTATATTTTCACTCATCAGCTGATCAACAGCGCCCTCTGCCCGACGACGGCTGTACTACAACTAATACTGATTACTGCTAATAATGCAACTAATAATACAACTAATACTACAAGTTATGGCAGTAGTTTATGTGATCATATATCTGCTCTGTAAAAGAATCTTAGTACACAAACAATAATAATAACAATAACCAAATATTTAATCAAAGATTATGTAACAAATGTAAATTTCAATAAAGTTTCAACACAGTTGTTTTTTTCTTCCAGTTTTTCACAATATAAGTTTAAATAAAGATCAAAAATATAATTATTTCCATCTAAATCTCAACTTTAACCTCCAGCAGACTTTGAATATGATATTTTCCTTTATTCTGAATAACTCCAGATGTTACAATGTCCATTAGGGATAAATTATATATTTATAACTATAATATATTATATATTATTGAGACATTTCCAATTTACAGTTCAACAATTGTTTATTTTATTTGTATAAAATGATAAGTATACAATATAAATTTGAATGTGTATTTTATTGATTAAGTTCATCAAACAACAACAAACAACAACAATCCAGACAAACTTAACGAGGCAGTGGCGGGAGGAAATAATCGATTAACTGATCAATTTGAATTTAGAAATAAAGACATAAGGCCTCATTTTAAATATTGATATAAAATAAGAATGTAATAACCCGCCTCCGGCCCGCAGAGGGCGCTGCAGGCTGATTCCTGCTTCCTGTGTCACATTGATTTCCGTCCGTCGAACAACAACAACAACACATGTGAGTGAAGCTGCTGCAGAGTCGACATGTTTCCCGGGTTGAAGGAGAAAGTCGGAGAGGTTTTGTTACCGGGAGATGAGTTCTGCTTTCAGACCGACGACACCATCTCTCTGACGGACCCCGGGAGACCGGAGAAGGTGGTGTGCGGACCGGGTCTGAGGCGGAGCGGAGACCGGCTGCTGGTGTGTAAAAGCGGCGTCCTCCGACACAAACAGCCCAACATGTTCTGGATGGATTCCCAGCAGAGGAGGGTGAGACTGCACCGGACTCACTCTATATACCCACACCATCCAGTTACTGTCAGATCTGCGCTAACTGGAGCTCCTACTGTGTGCAGAAATCCGTTTAGAAATCTCGCAATTTAAGGGATTTCTTTGTCAGCGCACCTGAACGCCTCATAAGGCGGGACTCTTGGACTGAACTTAAATCATTATGGATCAGTCGAGATTACGGCTTAAAATAAAGTAATCAAGATGCGCTTTGTGTCATTAAAGTTGAATTTAATTCATTATTTCCGCTGTTCTGTCTTCCACAGCTCGCTGTGCTTTACGGCAGCGAGCAGCGGGACTCCGCTCTGAAAAGTTCAGATTATTTAGTAATACAGTACCGGTTGGTGAACCAGTACCGGCCCGAATTACTCAGATCACCGAACTAATGTATGAGAGTTGTTAGTTTTTGTTCTGGAAGTTAAATCCGGTGAACCATATTGGGTCAAACTTTAAATAGCTATATATTTAAATGGAGTTCGGAGTTCCTAATAGAAGGTGAAGCGAACGTTGGTGTTCCATGAGGACATTTCAGAAGAGGACAGGTGTTGGAGCAGTGCATGCTGGGAGCTGAGTCTGTCTCTGTGTCCTCAGTACGTCCCGGCTAAAGGAGAGACCGTCATCGGCATCGTGACGGTCAAATCAGGAGACGTCTTCAAGGTGGACTTTGGAGGAAGCGAGCAGGCGTCTCTGTCCTACCTGGCGTTCGAGGGGCGACCAAGAGGAACCGCCCCAACGTCCAGGTGAGACACTGAAGACCCGCTGTTACCTGTACAGGTGTTGAACCCCTCCCTCCCTGTGTGTTACCTGTACAGGTGTTGAACCCCCCTCCCTGTGTGTTACCTGTACAGGTGTTGAACCCCTCCCTCCCTGTGTGTTACCTGTACAGGTGTTGAACCCCCTCCCTCCCTGTGTGTTACCTGTACAGGTGTTGAACCCCCTCCCTCCCTCCCTGTGTGTTACCTGTACAGGTGTTGAACCCCTCCCTCCCTCCCTCCCTGTGTGTTACCTGTACAGGTGTTGAACCCCTCCCTCCCTGTGTGTTACCTGTACGGGTGTTGAACCCCCTCCCTCCCTGTGTGTTACCTGTACAGGTGTTGAACCCCTCCCTCCCTGTGTGTTACCTGTACAGGTGTTGAACCCCCTCCCTCCCTCCCTGTGTGTTACCTGTACAGGTGTTGAACCCCCTCCCTCCCTGTGTGTTACCTGTACAGGTGTTGAACCCCTCCCTCCCTGTGTGTTACCTGTACAGGTGTTGAACCCCTCCCTCCCTGTGTGTTACCTGTACAGGTGTTGAACCCCTCCCTCCCTGTGTGTTACCTGTACAGGTGGGCGACCTGGTGTTCTCTCAGTTCATCATAGCCAATAAGGACATGGAGCCGGAGCTGGTGTGTATGGACAGTTCGGGACGAGCCAATGGGATGGGAGTATTCGGAGGAGGAGGTCTGCTCTTCATCGTCTCTCTGGGACTCGTCAGAAGGTAAAAACTGCCTCAGATAGATCACTTTATATTGATTCTATTATTGATTATTGATCAGTATACACTGTATCGTTATTGATTATTGATCAGTATACACTGTATCTTTATGGATGATATTGATCAGTGTACACTGTATCTTATTGTATGGATGATATTGATCAGTATACACTGTATCTTTATTGATTATTGATCAGTATACACTTATTTAGTATACTGTATCTTATGGATGATATTGATCAGTATACACTGTATCTTTATGGATGATATTGTCAGTATACACTGTATCTGTATGGATGATATTGATCAGTATACACTGTATCTTTATAGATGATATTGATCCTGTATTGACAGTCAGACTGTGGACATATGACGGCCTTTAGCTCGTGTTTCTAGAGTTACGTGTTGTTACGAACACGTTAGGAATTGTTATTGCTAATATGGATCATTGTTAACGTTTAGTCTCCACTACAGAAACCATGTTATTGATGATGTTATTGATGATGTTATTGATGCCTGTGGCCCCCCCACCCCCCCACAGACTGCTGGCCCCCCACAGTGAGGTGCTGGCAGACCTGCAGCAGCTGTTCCCCTGTGAGCTGGTTTTGGGGATGAACGGCCGTCTGTGGGTCCGGTCCTCCAGCATCCAGCAGACGCTCGTCATCGCCAACCTGCTGCAGAGCTGCGACACCATGACGGCCCAGCAGAGACAGCAGCTGTTCAGGAGGGTGGCACAGGGGGCGCTGTAGACCACATTGGACCACAAGCGGGCCTGAACCAGCAGACGGTTGGTTCTCAGACCAACGTCCAGCTGTAATAAACGGTCTCAGTGACGTCCCCCACAGGTTCCTGTCGGTCGCCATGTTGGAAATGTTTTATGTTGTCCCCGGTGGCCTACATAAAGCCTCAGTGCTCTTTGTGAGTGAACTCCTGGAAAATGTTTTGTTAAAGAGCGGGAACTATAATCCTTAATATCATTTAAAGGTGGTACAGTTGTCATCTGACCAATAGGCTGTAAACATGTTTAATATGGGCCCTTATGGAGGCTGACCCACTGCCTCTAGTGGAACTGCCAGCTGCTGATTAGTAGAAACCCAGTTTTTAGGTATTTACATTATTTGTCTCCCTGTTGTTTAATTTATTGCAACTTGATGTTTTTACATTTTGTAAAATTAAGTAATAATTTGTATAAAAATTCTAAATGTTTTTAAATAAAGTTTGAACCTCTGGATGAGTTCTGTTTAGATCAATCTGACCTCTGATCTGCAGCTGGAAGAAACTGGCCTGCCCCCCTGAGCCTCCGATTGGCCCACCCCGGTATTCCTAGCCAATCACAGCCCTCGTGCATAATCTCAAACAATGACGGCAGCTCGTTGGTGAACTAACAAACAACAAACACAGACTTCAGATCAGCTCTTATATTTTCATTTACAGTCTGGTTCCCTCCACCAGTTCACCCTTACACTGGTTCACCCTCTCTCACACCAGTTCACCCATTATAAGGCACATTGACGGTGATTTGTTCATCAACAATAAAGAATATTTTTGGTCTGCAGAGAAACAAACAAACCTGTCAACTAATAAAGATAGAAAACATCACACACTAATTGATAATAAATGATATTGGTGATCAATAATTAAATTAACTCTTTGGTACCAGCAGCTCTGATGAGAGCCTGGAGACACAATCAATGGAGGGGTTTTGGTTCGAGGCTGATCAGGATCAATCGGGATCAGCTGATTGGATTAACACACACGCACGCACACACACACACACACACACACACACACACAGAGGTTGGTGTTTAGATCTGGTTCTGAAGTGAAACTGGCACCGTGACGGGCTTTGTGTTTCGGGCCACAGGAAACAATTAAGACATAATGTTACTGCAATATGATTGGCGATTATTGTGGAAATGATCAGTCTTTACTTTCCTCCTGAGACATATTACATCTTATTGATTATCTGATGTAATTAAACAGTTTGATTAGTTTGAATGAATCTTATGTTTTCATTCTGAATATACGAATGAAAGATGAATAAATTAAACTTTATGATGATCATCAGACCGCTGCAGCTGCTCTAGAGTCTCATATAAATAAATTAGTTTTAAAGAATAAAAATAAAGTTTAATTCTTTCTGCTGACATAAACAACCAGCAGGAGGCTTTTATTGTGAAAAGTCACAGGAAGTTGATCCCAATTGGTTTTGTTGTTTGAATTTAGTTTTTCTTCTTAGCTTGTTCTGATGTTGGACTTTTTAGAACCAGATCAGTGCACAGAACCAGGATCAAGATCAGAGCAGATCTAAACCCACCCTGTATTTTTTTTTACCCATAATCCCCCACCAGTAAAACCCGGACCACGAGGCCCAGCAGATTGTCTCTGATTAATATTGTGCAGCAGCGGCGGGGTCCGACAGACGGAGGCGGCCGTCCGTTTGTGCAAAAACGAGAAGAATCAAAGAAACAGCAGGAAGAGCCGTCTGAGTCCAGCATGTTCTGGTCCACTTGGACCTGGTCCACCTGCACCAGAACTTAATGATTCAAGTGTCAAAGGCACATTTGGTTTGTACAATCCGGATCCCGTCCTCACGGTTTCCCAACGTCCACCGTGATCTTCGTGAACAGGTCCAACTTGTCCACTCGGACCACGCGGTAGGACAGAGAGTTGATCCCGTCTTTGTACATCGTTTCCCTCGTGTGAGCGATCCGATCAAACCTGAACGCAACACAGGGACAGGGTATTATTAATAATAATAATAATTTCATTAATATTACTAATAATGATAATTGTATTAATATGACTAATATTGATATTAATGATAATGATATAATAGTAATCATGATAATAGTAATAATAACATGAATAATATAAATAATAACAATGTTAATTGTATTAATATTAATAATGATATTAATAACAATATGAATAAACTGGTATTAATCATAATAATATTAATGATACTAATAATATGAATAATAATGATATTAATAATAATAATATTAGTGATAATATAATGTTAATCTTTATTAATGATAATAATATGAATAAAAACGGTATTAATAATATTAATAATAATATTAACAATAATACTAGTTATAATAATATTAGTGATAATAATAATCATATGAATAATAATACTATGAATAATATTAATAATAATATTATCAATATTAATAATATTAACAATGCTAATAATAATAACGTGTGTTTACCTCTGAGGGTTGGGATCGTTCTTTTTGTCTCTGTCGTGTCGGATCATTCGACATTTTCCCGTCTCTCCACTCGGTCTGGAGATCGACATTCCTTTAGACGCCAGCCTGAAAATAATAGCAGGTCAAAGGTCAGAGCTGAGGGATTCTGGGTTAATATGAAATAACATCTATCAATCAGTCAATCACAAACAATATTGATCTATTGGAGTCAGAACCAGAGGAAGTAGAGGAAGAGGAGTCAGAACCAGAGGAAGAGGAGTGAACTGTGTTCCTGTGAGGAAGGTCAGAGGTCAGAGGTCCATTATAGAGAGAACAGTATATATTATACTGTATATAGAATATATAGTATATATAGAATATATAGTATACACAGTGTATTATGTATATTACAGTATTTTCTATATAGTATATATAGTATATATATTATAGTATAATACACTATATATAGTATATACAGTGTATTATTATGTATATTACAGTATATTCTATATAGTATATATATTATATATATTATAGTATAATACACTATATATAGTATATATAGTCTATATATTATGTATATTAGTATATTCTATATAGTATATATAGACTATATATAGTATATACAGTGTATTATTATGTATATTACAGTATTTTCTATATAGTATATATAGAATATATAGTATATACAGTGTATTATGTATATTACAGTATATTCTATATAGTATATATATTATAGTATAATTCACTATATATAGTATACACAGTGTATTATTATGTATATTACAGTATATTCTATATAGTATATATATTATAGTATATATAGTATATACAGTGTATTATTATGTATATTACAGTATTTTCTATATAGTATATATAATATATATATTATAGTATAATACACTATATATAGTATATACAGTGTATTATTATGTATATTACAGTATATTCTATATAGTATATATAGTATATACAGTGTATTATTATGTATATTACAGTATTTTCTATATAGTATATATATTATATATATTATAGTATATATAGTATATACAGTGTATTATTATGTATATTACAGTATTTTCTATATAGTATATATATTATATATATTATAGTATAATACACTATATATAGTATATACAGTGTATTATTATGTATATTACAGTATATTCTATATAGTATATATATTATATATATTATAGTATAATTCACTATATATAGTATACACAGTGTATTATTATGTATATTACAGTATATATATTATAGTGTAATTCACTATATATAGTATACACAGTGTATTATTATGTATATTACAGTATATATATTATAGTGTAATTCACTATATATAGTATACACAGTGTATTATTATGTATATTGCTGATGGTCAGTACCTGTTGTAGATGTCGTCGTCCTCCCCCCCCCAGCCCCAGTAGTTGTTGGGGAAGCCGTTGATCTTCAGGTACTGTTCTTTACTCATCGAGGACACGCCCCCAAAGTACTGATTGTAAGGTAACCTGCAAACAGACAGATGCAGACAGACAGATGTAGACAGACAGGAGATAAGAGGATATGAGTTGTGTATGAAGGCTGACTGTGTAACAGTTCCCTGAAGAAGACAAACAGCTGCTTCACACTCTGGTTGATACTGGATGTTTGTACAGGAAGTCACTGCTGATAGAAACCTGAGTATAATATATAGAATATCTGTGGCAGTTTAAATTCAGATAAAGTTGTGTGTTCTTCTGTCTAACTAACAGTATGTGTACTTTATCTGCATTCACTCTGTAATTACTGTATATTCTCTAAAGATGCTGGCACAACCACGCTAGCTGTTTCCCCATTTTCAGTCTTTATGCTAAGCTAACTGCTGGCTCTTTCAAACAACAGGAAGTGACAAACTATTATAGTGAGTGTGTGTGTGTGTGTGTGTGTGTGTGTGTACACAGGAAACAGGAAGTGAGGAGCCGAGCAGATGGCAGTGTTTCTCTTCCTCTGTGGTGTCACTGTCAGCAGTCTGATAAGACACATGTTCTCATGGCAGGAAGTGAACCTGAAGCCACCACCACCATCATCATGGTCACCACTGTGTACAGCAGCTGGAGAGCAGTTTAATCTCACACACTCAGTGTCGCTGTGTCTGTGAGACGACGAGCAAACTACTTTTAAAATGTTTGTTTTCTGAATGGAGTTTGGTTGATCAGGGTTATGCTAACTTCCTGTCTTCCTTTTCTCTGGGTGGGGGGGAAAGTGAAGATAAAACAGTTTCAGGAATAAACAGTGTTTATAGCAGCAGCTCTGACATACGACACAATGACTCAAAGCTCAGCTCTACTCGCTGTTTGCTGTGATTCTGTCAGTTTTACTTTACAATGAGCTAACTTAGCATAGCCCTGATCAACCAAACTCCATTCAGAAAACAAACATTTTAAAAGTTACACAGGAAAGCCTCTTCAGCCTGGAATTATTTACCTTATTTTATTACCTTACTTTTTAATTTACTCTAAATAATCGTACCAGAGCTACCTTGTTGGTGTTTTCACATTTATATAAACCTTTATTTAAACTGTAAATCCTCATTTACAATAACATAACAACAGTCTGATGATGTCTGATACCTCACTGATTGATAACCGGTAGAACTGGACTGTGCTGTCTCACCTGAAGCCGAACTTGTCCATGGACACGGACAGGTGTCGGGGCTGACTGAAGCACCTGTAGGTGTTGCGGTCGTCCATGGGGATCAGGTCCACGTCGCTGAAGACAAAGCACTCGTAGTCGTACTCCTTCAGGGCCTCGGTGTAGCCCACGTTCAGCAGCTTGGCTCGGTTGAAGATCTCTTCCCCGTCCTGAGGAACCGTTAAACACGCCCTCGTTAGACATCTTAAAATCAGTGCGTGGAACTAATGCGGGCAGGAAGTCACTGAGCTGCTCACAGTCAGCTAACAGCTAGCAGCTAGCAGCTCGTTTCCACAGATAATAAAATATGTCTGTCTGACAAAACTGTTTCTGTGTCGAGGTAAAGGGTCCCTGAAGGTCTCACTGCTCAGAGGATTGTTTGAGTGTCTCCTGTCACACACACAGGTGATCAGGTGTCAGTGATAAAAGGATGTTTTCTGTTGGAAGGTGAGACTGGCTGGTGAGGATTCCTCCTCAGGTGTGTCACTGGCATTTGGCGCAGATAATCAGGTTGCTAGGCAACCAACCTGTATTGAGCTCTCAGGTGTGAAGGGTTGTTTACTACCTGTAGGGCTGACACAGCGGCTGCCTCGACACGTTTAACACACAGCTCAACACAGAGCCTTCATACTGACGCCATTTCACAGCTGGTAATCATCATGTGGTTGAGTCTGGACCAGAGTCTGGACCGGGGACTGGACCGGAGTCTGGACCGGGGTCTGGACCGGGGGGTCTGGACCGGGGTCTGGACCGGGGGGTCTGGACCGGGGTCTAATTAAAGCTGTAAGCAGCGATCCGTTCTCTAGGAGGAGGAGTTCAAATACAACATGCGCAATTCACCACAAACGACAACTAGATTCAAAATGGCCGACTTCCTGTTGCTCCAAGAGACTGTGGCTGCGTTTCATTAGTAGTTCCACTTCCCCTCGTTCACTTCCCCTCGTTCACTTACTCTCGTTCACTTCCCCTCGTTCACTTCCCCTCGTCCACTTCCTCTCGTCCACTTCCTCTCGTTCACTTCCCTCGTTCCTTCTCGTTCACTTACTCTCGTTCACTTCCCTCGTTCACTTCCCCTCGTTCACTTACTCTCGTTCACTTCCCCTCGTTCACTTACTTCACTACTCGCTCACTTCCCCTCGTTCACTTACTCTCGTTCACTTACTCTCGTTCACTTACTCTCGTTCAATTACTCTCGTTCACTTCCTCTCGTTCACTTCCTCTCGTTCACTTCCCCTCGTTCACTTCCTCTCGTTCACTTCCCCTCGTTCACTTCCCCTCGTCCACTTCCCCTCGTCCACTTACTCTCGTTCACTTCCCCTCGTTCACTTACTCTCGTTCACTTCCCCTCGTTCACTTCCCCTCGTTCACTTCCCCTCGTTCACTTCCCCTCGTTCACTTACTCTCGTTCACTTACTCTCGTTCACTTCCCCTCGTTCACTTCCCCTCGTTCACTTCCCCTCGTTCACTTACTCTCGTTCACTTCCCCTCGTCCACTTCCCCTCGTCCACTTACTCTCGTCCACTTCCCCTCGTTCACTTACTCTCGTTCACTTCCCCTCGTTCACTTACTCTCGTTCACTTCCCCTCGTTCACTTACTCTCGTTCACTTACTCTCGTTCACTTCCCCTCGTTCACTTACTCTCGTTCACTTCCCCTCGTTCACTTACTCTCGTTCACTTCCCCTCGTTCACTTGCTCTCGTTCACTTACTCTCGTTCACTTGCTCTCGTTCACTTCCCCTCGTTCACTTGCTCTCGTTCACTTCCCCTCGTTCACTTGCTCTCGTTCACTTGCTCTCGTTCACTTGCTCTCGTTCACTTCCCCTCGTTCACTTACTCTCGTTCACTTCCCCTCGTTCACTTACTCTCGTTCACTTACTCTCGTTCACTTCCCCTCGTTCACTTACTCTCGTTCACTTCCCCTCGTTCTCTTACTCTCGTTCACTTACTCTCGTTCACTTCCCCTCGTTCACTTTCCCTCGTTCACTTACCCTCAGCCCTTGGTATGACGTAACAGCATACGTTGCACAGAGGGAAAGTGAACGAGGGCAAGTGAACGACTAATGAAACGCAGCCTTTTTGTGCATCTGGACGGATTTTGACGCCTGTCAGTGAAACCAGTTAGGGGGCGCTGTTGAGCCATGTGCCACGCCCATGTTTAGAGGAAGAAGAATAAGAAGAACATTTGGTTGAGTTTGAATATTAAAGATAAAAAGATAAGAACAGTATTCAGACAGGAAATAAAAGGTTAGTAAAGACATGAAGTTCAGTTTGGTACAAAGACACAAAAGTAGAAACAGACAGAAAAGAAGGAAGTAGCCTGTATTACCAGTGAAGCCCCCTCTGAGCTGCTATTGGCCGAGACCCAGCAGGGGGCGGGGCTCAACGTCTCCAGCAACCGCAGCCATTGGTCAGAAATGCCTGACATGCAGAGGGAGGGCGGAGGAAAGGGGAGGCGGTGTGAGCGAGGGAGGCAGGTGAGGAGAAAACAATGAAGGAGGAGGAGGAAGAGGAGGAGGAGGAAAAAGACGAGGAGGAGGAGGAGGAAGAGAAAGAGGAGGAGGAGGAAGAGGAAGAGGAAGGACACAGACAAGAGAGAAAAGAACAACTGTGAGTCACAAACAGAAGACCTGATGTTAGAGTCAGAGTGAACACATTGTTAGAAATCACAGACCGTCAATCTGTCAACAAACAGTAAACAAACACTCTGTCAGCAAACAGTAAACAAACACTCTGTCAGCAAACAGTAAACAAACACTCTGTCAGCAAACAGTAAACAAACACTCTGTCAACAAACAGTAAACAAACAATCTGTCAGCAAACAGTAAACAAACACTCTGTCAACAAACAGTAAACAAACACTCTGTCAACAAACAGTAAACAAACACTCTGTCAACAAACAGTAAACAAACACTCTGTCAGCAAACAGTAAACAAACAATCTGTCAGCAAACAGTAAACAAACATTCTGTCAACAAACAGTAAACAAACACTCTGTCAGCAAACAGTAAACAAACAATCTGTCAACAAACAGTAAACAGTGTGAACACATTGCAACCTTCACTAAAGACTCACTGGTGTTACTGGACGAGCGAACAACCAGTTTAAATGCTGAGCTTCTGTCTTATGTCCTACGACACTGAGAGCTAACGTTACGCTACGACGCTGAGAGCTAACGTTACGCTACGACACTGAGAGCTAACGTTACGCTACGACACTGAGAGCTAACGTTACGCTACGACGCTGAGAGCTAACGTTACGTTACGCTACGAAGCTGAGAGCTAACGTTACGCTACGACGCTGAGAGCTAACGTTACGCTACGACACTGAGAGCTAACGCTACGCTACGCTACGAAGCTGAGAGCTAACGTTACGCTACGACGCTGAGATCTAACGTTACGCTACGACACTGAGAGCTAACAAGTTTGACAGTGAGGCTTTAGAAACATAACTATTTGCATACAATCATTCAGCACATTTTCAGTCACTGTGAAGCTACTGCCAGATGTTCCTCTTTAACAGCTGTTCCTCATTAATAACTGTTCCTCATTAACAGATGTTCCTCATTAATAACTGTTCCTCATTAACAGATGTTCCTCATTAACAACTGTTCCTCATTAACAGATGTTCCTCATTAACAGATGTTCCTCATTAACAACTGTTCCTCATTAACAACTGTTCCTCATTAATAGCTGTTCCTCATTAACAGATGTTCCTCATTAACAGATGTTCCTCATTAACAGCTGTTCCTCATTAACAGCTGTTCCTCATGAACAGATGTTCCTCATTAACAGCTGTTGCTCATTAATAACTGTTCCTCATTAATAACTGTTCCTCATTAATAACTGTTCCTCATTAACAGCTGTTCCTCATTAACAGATGTTCCTCATTAACAGCTGTTCCTCATTAACAGCTGTTCCTCATTAACAGATGTTCCTCATTAACAGCTGTTCCTCATTAACAGCTGTTCCTCATTAACAGATGTTCCTCATTAACAGATGTTCCTCATTAATAACTGTTCCTCATTAATAACTGTTCCTCATTAACAGATGTTCCTCATTAACAGCTGTTCCTCATTAATAACTGTTCCTCATTAACAGATGTTCCTCATTAACAGATTCATTCATCATTCATCTTCATCCGCTTATCAGGGGTCGGGTCGAGGGGGTAGCAAGTTCAGCAGAGGACCCCAAACTTCCCTTTCCCTGGCCACATTGGCCAACTCTGACTGGGGGATCCCGGGGCGTTCCCAGGCCAGTGTTGAGATATAATCTCTCCACTTGGTCCTCGGTCTGCCCCGTGGCCTGCTCCCACCTTGACGTGCCAGGAACACCTCCCTCGGGAGGCGCCTTGGAGGCATCCTCATCAGATGCCCGAGTCCCTTGCGGATGTCCGAGCTTCTCACCCAATCCCTAAGGGAGACGCCGGCCACCCTCCTGAGGAAACCCATTTCGGCCGCTTGTACCCGGGATCTCGTTCTTTCGGTCACGACCCGCGAACCGATCCAGTGAGTGCTGAAGGTCACAGGCCGATGATGCCATCAGGACCACATCATCCGCAAAAAGCAACGACACAATCCTCAGCCCACCAAACTGCAACCCCTACCCCCCACAACTATGCCTCGATATTCTGTCCATGAAAGTCACAAACAGGATTGGTGACAAAGCGCAGCCCTGGCGGAGGCCAACACCCACTGGAAACAAGTCCGACTTACGACCAAGAATCCGGACACAACTCTCACTTTGGAAATACAGGGCTTGGATGGTCCTGAGAAGTGGCCCCCTCACCCCATACTCCCGCAGCACTTCCCACAGGATATCCTGGGGAACCCGGTCATATGCCTTCTCCAAATCCACAAAGCACATGTAGACTGGATGGGCATACTCCCAGGCCCCTTCCAGGACACCTGAGAGAGTAAAGAGTTGGTCTGTTGTTCCACAACCAGGACGAAACCTGCACTGTTCTTCTTCAATCAGAGGTTCGACAATCGTCCGGACCCTCCTTCCCAGCACCTTAGAGTAAACTTTCCCAGGGAGGCTGAGTAGTGTGATACCTCTGTAATTTGAACACCCTCGGGTCCCCCTTTTTAAATAGGGGAACCACCACCCCAGTCCGCCACTCCTTCAGCGCTGTCCCTGACTTCCACGCAATGTTGAAAAGGTGTGTCAGCCAAGACAGCCCCTCAACACCCAGAGCCTTCAGCATTGATGGATGAATCTCATCAATCCCCGGGGCTTTGCCACTGTGGAGTTGTTTGATTACCTCAGTGACTTCCTGCAGGGAAATTGATGTAGATCCCCCATCACACTCCAGCCCTGCCTCTATCACAGAGGGTGGGTTTGTTGGTCTAGTCGGGTTCAGGAGTTCCCCAAAGTGTTCCTTCCACTGCCCAATTACCTCCTCAGTTGAGGTCAGCAGTGTCCCATCCCCACTGTACACAGCTTGAATGTTTCCCCGCTTTCCCCTCCTGAGGTGTCGGACGGTTTTCCAGAAGCGCCTGGGTGCCGTCTGAAAGTCCTTCTCCATGACTTCTCCGAACTCCTCCCACACCCACTGTTTTACTTCCCTGACAGCTGCGGCTGCAGTCCTTCGGGCCTGCCGGTACCCTGCAACTGCCTCAGGAGTCCCCCGGGATAACATATCCCGGAAGGCCTCCTTCTTCAGTTGGACGGCTTCCCTGACCACCAGTGTCCACCACCGTGTTTGAGGGTTACCGCCCCTTGAGGCACCCAAGACCTTAAGACCACATCTCACAGCCGCAGCTTCAGCAATAGAAGCTTTGAACATCAACCACTCCGGTTCAATGTCCCCCGCCTCCACAGGAATGTAAGAGAAGCTCTGCCGGAGGTGGGAGTTGAAGGTCTCTCGGACAGGGGCCTTCTCCAGATGTTCCCAGTTCACCCATACTACATGTTTGGGTTTACCAGGTCTGTCCAGTGGCTTCCCCCGCCACCTAACCCAACTCACCACCAGATGGTGATCAGTTGACAGCTCCGCCCCTCTCTTTACCCGAGTGTCCAATACATGCGGCCTCAGGTCTGATGATACGATCACAAAATCGATCATAGACCTTTGGCCTAGGGTGCTCTGGTACCACGTACACTTATGAGCATCCCTATGTCTGAACATGGTGTTCGTTATGGACAACCCATGACTAGCACAGAAGTCCAGCAACAAAACACCACTCTGGTTCAAATCGGGGAGGCCGTTCCTCCCAATCACGCCCCTCCAAGTATCTCCATCATTGCCCACATGTGCGTTAAAGTCTCCCAGGAGAATGATGGAGTCCCCTACTGGAGCCCTATACAGGACTTCATTCAGGGTCCCCAAGAAGGCCAAATATTCTGCACTGCTGTTTGGTGCATAAGCACAAACAACAGTCATAGTTCCACCCCCCACAAATCATAGGCGTAGGGAGGCGACCCTCTCGTCCACCGGGGTGAACTCAAACGTAGGCCTGGCTCCAGATGGGGGCCCCGGGCTTCCTCCGGGCCGGGTCTCTTTACATCTTCCATGCTTTTCCATAGTGGTCTGTGAACCATTCTTAGTCTGGCCCCTCACCTGAGACCACTTTGCCTTGGGAGACCCTACCAGGAGCATGTTGCTCCCGACAACACAGCTCTCAGGTTCATAGAAGCACCCAAACCTCTCCACCGTGATAAGGTGATGGTTCCCGGAGAGATCATTAACAACTGTTCCTCATTAACAGATGTTCCTCATTAACAGCTGTTCCTCATTAACAGATGTTCCTCATTAACAGCTGTTCCTCATTCACAGCTGTTCCTCATTCACAACTGTTCCTCATTAACAGCTGTTCCTCATTAACAGCTGTTCCTCATTAACAACTGTTCCTCATTAACAGCTGTTCCTGTGGATGGACAAACTCTGAATGGATTCTCCTCCCTCACACAGACTCCGTGTCAACAAGTAAACAGCCTGTAACCGATGTAGTCGCATCTATAACGTCAAAACTGACTTCTGACTCATGTCAGTAAATCTTTACAACCCTACTAACCATGGTGACAGCACAACAAAGATGGAGACAGCTGACACCTCCAAAGAGAAGAAAGGAGTTAGACAATATGACTCACTGCTAGAGTACTGTACTCTCCTGTAGCACTGTCTGTACTCTCTGTACTCTCCTGTAGTACTGTCTGTCTGTACTCTCCTGTAGTACTGTCTGTACTCTCCTGCAGTACTGTCTGTCTGTACTCTCCTGAAGTACTCTGTCTGTCTGTACTCAGTACTGTCTGTACTCTCCTGTAGTACTGTCTGTACTCTCCTGTTGTGAATGAATTTAGAATTTTTTTATTATTATTGTGTCATGCATTAGCATGCCCAGCCCACAAGGGCTTACAAGACACCATTATAAAATATAGACAGACCAAAACCCAAAAGTAGATGCTAAACAATACTAATAATATAATAAATAATATATAATAATAATAATATAACATTAACGATATAAACCATTCTGAAGTTTAATCCAGGCTTTAGTAACAAAAGAGGCTAACTTATAAACATTAAAGGTAAACTAACATTCCATCCTGACATCATCATTACTCCAAAATATTTCAGGGTTTTGAGCAAACAGTTCATTTACAACAGTAAAGTCTAGTTCATCATAGAAGGGACAGTATAAAAGAAAATGAGATTCATTCTCACAAAGTTCACAAAGTCTCTGTTCCTCTGGGATATTTTTAAATCTGCCGACCTCAAGTGCCAGGGGAAGGATTCCCATTCTTAATTGGGCAATCAAGGATCTCTGATTTCTTGGTAAATTTGTTTTAACATATAATTCTGTTTCATAATTATGCTTGATTTGGACATATGTCCGTAATTTCGGTTTTAACATTATATCATTTAACCATTTTTCATTGAACCCGACAAGTCACTTTTTTCTAATTTTGTTTATGCTGCATGATAAATTATTTTTATAGATATACTGACAATCGGCTTCTTCAAAGACAGCATGAATCTCTGCGGCCCATGGAGAGTTCTGGACTTTACTCCAAAGGAAAACTTTCTTATTGATTCTGTCATCTGACATATTAATAAAACAATTCAACAGTCTTATCATATCACACTTTCTCCGTATTGTACCAGGAATCCAGCCCATGTCACCCTGAGCAGCCAAAGAGGGAACATATTTATAAATACCCAGAAAACAACGTATAGCTCTGTTTTGTACAGCATCTGAAATCCTTCTTTCTTTAAATCCCCATACCCCAGCAGCATAATTCACAATGGGAGAAACACATGCATCATACAATTGAGAGTAAGTAGAATAACCAAGGTCTTTACATATTTTTAACTTGTTAACAACGGAACCCAAAGCTCTGCCAGCTGAATCAGCCAGGAGTTTAATTCCATTTTCAAAATTCATAAATTCATCAAGTGGAAATCCTAAATATTTATAAACAGATGTATTTTATTGGCATATCAGAAAAAGTAAAGATTTTCTCACTTCTTGGGACACCTTTTTTTCTAAAATGAATTATCTGTGTTTAACTCTGATTTATGGACAGCCTCCATCTGCAACACCAGGTCTGTACTAAGTTTAACATATTCTGTAAATCATCCTCCGATTCAGCCAGTAGAACAATATCATCCGCGTACAACAAAATACCCACAGTTAAATCATTCAAATGTATACCTAAATTAGCATTCTTGATTTCAAAAGCCAGGTCATTTATATAAAGAGAAAACAAACTAGGGGACAGGACATCACCCTGTTTAACACCAAAGGGGGTTTTAAACCAGTCAGTTTGAAGATCATTTACCTGAAAACATGCAACTGAGGAACTATACAGTGACTTTAGAGCTTGATAGAATTTACCATCCACACCTCCTTTTAAAAGTTTTAAGGCAAGCAGATCTCTATTTACCCAATCAAAAGCCTTTTGGAAATCCACAAAACATACAAGAGTAGATTTATTTTCTGCAATTCTTGTCCTGACAATTGTTGAAATTGTATGAATATGATCAATGCAGGCTCGACTCCTTCTGAACCCATTCTGTTCATCAACTAAATATTCCTCTGTTTCCAGATACTCGATCAGCCTAGCATTCAAAATACTACTATACAATTTATACACTGTGCTAAGAAGGCTGATTCCCCTGTGATTGAGTGGTATCCTAGGGTCATTCATAGATGACTTTGGGATAGGTTTGATAATAGACATACCACACGGAAGGAACAATACCGTGTTTAAAACAAAACCTAAACAAACAGAAAAGCATGTTTAAAGAGGAGGTGACGTTAACACTTCATTTGGGATATCTTCCACACCTACTGCTTTTTTCAGCTTAGACTTATTTATAGCAGCTTTCACTGTAGTACTGTCTGTACTCTCCTGCAGTACTGTCTGTCTGTACTCAGTACTGTCTGTACTCTCTTGTAGTACTGTCTGTCTGTACTCAGTACTGTCTGTACTCTCCTGTAGTACTGTCTGTACTCTCCTGTCTGTACTGTCAGTATTGAGTAATAGGCTGTTCCTGTCCACCAGGATCCCACAATGATGAAACTCAAGAATGCGAGTGACACACTGAGCAAACAAACCAACTGCAGCAGTGGTTTTGATAAGACGTGGACGTCACACACTCTCAGTAAACACTCACTCTCTGAGAGTGTTTGAAGAGATTTAGTATTTCACTCCAACAAAGGATGTTCCAGGACTTTCCAAGTCTTTCCAGGACCTTTTCAATGACACACCCCTCATAATCTTCTGTCACTTCCTAAAGAACCTGCGTCAGGTGTGACCGCCACAGGTGCGTGGTTACACAGGTACCTGAGGCATCCATGTTTGTGTAGTTTTATACGTTTTACACGTTGGATGTTGACACCAACGCTTCAACTGTTAGCACGAATGCTAAAACTGGTTATACGTTCACACATTGTAGGTCTAATTTAAAGAGACACAATTTAAAATCTTGTACTTCCCTCAGACAGCTGCAGTCTGATGAGCTCACAGCGTACCTGGTTGATGACATAGACTCCGTAGTCCAGCTGCTGCCTCTGCAGGATGGGGTGCAGGTAGTACAGCCAGTACTTGAGGTGTTCGTCCCGGTTGCGGAAGGGGATAATGATGGCGACCTTCTGCAGCGCCTCGCAGTCTTTTGGTCTGTAGCGTCCACCCGACTGCAGGTTTGGGTTGTCCTTCTTGATCTGCTCCAGACTCACCGGAGTGTTAAACTCCACTCGCAGAGGACCCACTGAGGATACAGTAGACACATACAATGTTTATAACTGTAGAGTATAAACACTGTATCTATACACTGTACACTGTATCTGTACAATGTATCTATAGACTGTACACTGTATCTATACACTATATTTATACACTATACACTGTATCTATACACTATCTATACACTGTACACTGTATCTATACACTTTATCTGTACACTGTATCTATACACTATACACTGTATCTATACATGGTATCTATACACTGTATCTATACACTATACACTGTATCTATACACTTTATCTGTACACTGTATCTATACACTATACACTGTATCTATACATGGTATCTATACACTGTATCTATACACTATACACTGTATCTATACACTGATTATAACTGCAGACAGAAAGGACAAAATCAGCTCAAATTAGATGTGTCATAACTCTTCCTCTAACATGAACCGCCCACAGTCAATCTGTCCTGTGTTCAAATAAATTCTAATAAAAGTGGAGGTCTCACAGATACGTTTCAGAGCTGGAAGCTGCAGGTCAAACTGCTAGCAGCTAACTAGCTAACAGTACCCACTCTACCTGTCTTAAAGGGGAAGGACGCAGTGAGGCTGTGGAGGAAGTATTCAGATCCATCCAGTAAAAGTACAAATCCCCCCCCCACAGTCCTAACAGGGGCTGAATTACAGCCTGAGGAAGATCAATCTGCACAGTAAACAACCGATCAGTCTCCTGATAGCGATCGATAAGTGCAGGCTCAGATACACCAAAAGATATTACTTGTATTCAGTTTCCCGCTCTAAAGAGTTTTCTATTGCAGGAAGAGGATTGAGGAAACTTTTTCCCAAACGTCAGCACTGTGTAATCAGACAAATATGTTGGTTCAGAGAGAGGCAGCTCATTAACACACAGACGCTCCAGAGTTTACAGAGGCTGGGACAAACTGTCCACATCCACAACAACACGTCTGCTCACACCGAAAGGAACCTCAACTACAGCTGCACTGAAAACCACAACGCATCCAGTCCTGTGACCATCCTCTGAGCACGTGTGGTGCATTCAGGGTCCACTCTAAAGTCCACTGGACTTCAGTCTGATGACGTGTCAGTTTGTCAGTGAGACAGACGGAGGATCTACAGCCGTTTATTCATTATTTCATTCTTTTTACACCTCCAGACACAAATGTAAAAAAACAAACAGTGAGGAGTTCTGGCAGGATTTATTGGTTTACTATTAAGGTATTACACTGAGGTATGTGACCAATAAAGGTGGACTTTGCCACCTTTGCCTATTCATGTCGATAATAAGTTCATTTGTCTGGGAATATATTTATCATTATATAAGGTTGTATAAGTAGAGATCCAAAATAATTATCAGGACAGATCAATCATCGGTTGATATTAATAATCATTTATTTTGAATTCTTATGCTCAACGATTGATAGACTTTAACTTTACTAGAAACAATGGACAAACATCTGAAGAGTTAGAACTGTTGTTGTTGTTGTTGTTGTTATTGTTGTTTACAATAGTGCTGTCACTGTGATTTGTTTGGATCAGAGTTATTGAATATTAAAATCAGCCATCTTTGATAGACTTCCATACCCTCTGGTGTGTAAAAACTACAGGTTTAAACTTTCTGAAACACAAAAATGTGAAATTATCAGTTATATTATCGATATGGGCCGTTAGAGCAGGTAATTATCGGTTATATTATCGGGGCCATTAGAGCAGGTAATTATCAGTTATTGTATTGGCTGAAATAAAATCCATATTGTGTATCCCAGTGTATAAGGGATCGTACTACACACATAAAAATAATTCATTTAATTAGAATGTTTCATAAAGATTTAAACATATTTACCTGTAGAAACTATATGAAACAGTACAGACATCATATTGGGACTATTTTAACGGATATTGTGATTCACAATCAGTGTTTGAATGATCAGTAAAGGTCACCTCTTCAGAGCTACACCTCTTCATTAGGAAGCTGATACCTTATCAATAAACTGCATATTGTGTGGAACATGACTGACTCTCCTCCTGAGGTATCTGTCGGTGGTTTATTGAGGCTCTTTATCTTCCTTTGTCCTCTACAGACACAGACTCTTAAATACAAACAATGTAGAGCTGCTAGAGAGCTACTTACAGTCTGATACAAGAGTGCTGTGGATCAGAGATCCAATACAATCTGTCTGGATCAAACTGTCAATGAGAGCCAGACCTGATGTGGTTCTGAGACCAGACTGAGCTGGAGGGTTCGGGGGGTCACAGCTGAGGAAACATGGACTCCATTACACCCAAAAACAAACATCTGTGATCATCAAAGTTACACACATCTTCATCCTCATCCTCCTCCTCACAGGTCAGCTCAGCTCACTGAACTCCACAAACCACATCATGAGTCCAGGTCTGTTCTTAGAGTCCAGACCTCTGGTGTCTGAGTCCAGACCTCTGGTGTCTGAGTCCAGATCTTTGGTCTCTGTGTCAGTAAGTTACTGCCAATGGAAACTGAACATTTCCTGCTTATTGTTCATTATCGTTGTTCATTATTGTTGTTCATTATCTGTGTTCATTATCGTTGTTCATTATTGCTCATTATCATTGTTCATTATCTGTGTACATTATCATTCATTATCATGTTCATTATTGTTGTTCATTATCGTTCATTATCTGTGTTCATTATCGTTGTTCATTATCTGTGTTCATTACCGTTGTTCATTATCTGTGTTCATTATCGTTGTTCATTATCTGTGTTCATTAACATTCATTATCATGTTCATTATTCCTCATTATTGTTGTTCATTAGCGTTAATTATCTGTGTTCATTATCACGTTCATTTTTGTTCATTATCGTTGTTCCTTATCGTTCATTATCTGTGTTCATTATCTTTGTTCATTATTGTTGTTCATTATCTTTATTCATTATTGTTGTTCATTATCTTTGTTCATTATCGTTCATTATCTGTGTTCATTATCATTGTTCATTATTGTTGTTATTATCTGTGTTCATTATCATTGTTCATTATTGATGTTATCTGTGTTCATTATCATTGTTCATTATTGTTGTTATTATCTGTGTTCATTATCGTTCATTATTGTTATTATCTGTGTTCATTATAATTGTACATTATCGTTCATTATCGTTGTTCATTATCTGTGTTCATTATCGTTGTTCATTATCGTTGCTCTTTATCCTTCATTATCATTGTTCATTATCGTTCATTATCTGTGTTCATTATCATTGTTCATTATTGTTCATTATCATTGTTCATTATCGTTCATTATCTGTGTTCATTATCATTGTTCATTATTGTTCATTATCATTGTTCATTATCGTTCATTATCTGTGTTCATTATCATTGTTCATTATTGTTCATTATCATTGTTCATTATCGTTCATTATCTGTGTTCATTATCATTGTTCATTATTGTTGTTCATTATCTGTGTTCATTATCGTTCATTATCATGTTCATTATCATGTTCATTATCTGTGTTCATTATCATTCATTATCGTTGTTCATTATCTGTGTTCATTATCGTTCATTATCTGTGTTCATTATCTGTGTTCATTATCGTTCGTTATCTGTGTTCATTATCATGTTCATTATCTGTGTTCATTATCATGTTCATTATCTGTGTTCATTATCATGTTCATTATCTGTGTTCATTATCGTTCATTATTGTTCATTATCATGTTCATTATTGTTCATTATCGTTGTTCATTATCTGTGTTTATTATCGTTCATTATCATGTTCATTATCATGTTCATTATCTGTGTTCATTATCGTTTAGTATCATGTTCATTATCGTTCATTTTCATGTTCATTATCTGTGTTCATTATTGTTCATTATCGTACATATCGTTCATTATCTGTGTTCATTATCGTTCATTATGTTCATTATCTGTGTTCATTATCGTTCATTATTGTTCATTATCTGTGTTCATTATCGTTCATTATCTGTGTTCATTATCTGTGTTCATTATCGTTCATTATCTGTGTTCATTATCTGTGTTCATTATCGTTCATTATCTGTGTTCATTATCATGTTCATTATCTGTGTTCATTATCGTTCATTATCATGTTCATTATCTGTGTTCATTATCATTCATTATCATGTTCATTATTGTTCATTATCTTTGTTCATTATCTGTGTTCATTATCGTTCATTGTCATGTTCATTATTGTTCATTATCTGTGTTCATTATCGTTCATTGTCATGTTCATTATCTGTGTTCATTATCTGTGTTCATTATCTGTGTTCATTATCGTTTAGTATCATGTTCATTATCGTTCATTATCATGTTCATTATCTGTGTTCATTATTGTTCATTATCGTACATATCGTTCATTATCTGTGTTCATTATCGTGTTCATTATCGTTCATTATCTGTGTTCATTATCTGTGTTCATTATCGTTCATAATCGTTCATTATCATGTTCATTATCTGTGTTCATTATCGTTCATTATCTGTGTTCATTATCGTTCATAATCGTTCATTATCATGTTCATTATCTGTGTTCATTATCGTTCATAATCGTTCATTATCATGTTCATTATCTGTGTTCATTATCGTTCATTATCTGTGTTCATAATCGTTCATTATCATGTTCATTATCTGTGTTCATTATCGTTCATTATCATGTTCATTATCTGTGTTCATTATCTGTGTTCATTATCGTTGTTCATTATGATTAATAGAGTAATACTGACAGGAGAGACAGAAAGAATAAACCAACTGATTACAGAACATAACTGATTAAGTGCATTTAAACAGAAAACACTGCTACATGCAACAATTAATATCTTCAGATCAGATATTGATGTATTAATTGATTATAGATCAGATATTGATGCATTACTTGACTGTAGATCAGATATTGATGCATTAATTGATTATAGATCAGATATTGATGTATTAATTGACTATAGATATATAATTACTGACAGCTGGCTGTTGTACTGTGTATACAGATGTGCAGACAGCTGAAATCAGGTCCTACCCAGCAGAGGAGATGTTTCAGGACATTTCTGCAGCTTCTTCTGCGGCTCTTCGACCCTCCTCTCCTCCGGAGGCTTCTGCTCATCTCTCTGCTCCTCCCGCTGGACCTCCTTGGCTCCGGTTGAGGAGGAGAACTGTCGGACCTGGTTCGGCTGGGTCACATTGCTGTGGGACTGCTGGTTCTGGACGAAGGCGAACCGGATGTCCAGGGAGCGGACGTAGAAGACGACGGTGACGGAGATGTGCAGGAAGCAGAGCAGCACCACCAGCTTACAGGTCCGGTGGAGGAGGTTGAAGTTAACGGTGGAGTCTGCCGCCATCCTCCAGCAATGTGAGTGAGACAGCCGCTGGAGAGCACTACCGGAGGGCACTACCGGAGAGCACTACCGGAGAGCACTACCGGAGGGCACTACCGGAGAGCGGAAGTATGACTGCTCCCAGTTAGCTGCTGCTGCTGTCGGGCTCCATGTTCCGTAAACTTCTCTTCAAACGTTACAACTTCTGGACTCAGAATCACCCTGAAAGCTGACAGAAAAGGGCCGAATCAGAGCTCAGAGTCCGGGGAAAAGTTTCCGCTCTGTCCCAGTCGGTTAGCAGTTAGCTACATTAGCTTTCCGTCCGTTCACGTTAAAAGTGACGTTACAGTTACAGTTACCGCTAACTGTTAGCAGCGCAGGAACTGTGGTCCTTTACAAAAACGTCTGGTTTAAAGATGGAAAGTCGCCCCGCAGCTCAGAAATATACTTTATAAAATATGAAAGAATTCAGGTTCAATAAATGTTCATTAAATTTACTGTTTCCGACCTCAAACGATATAAAAGTGACGGAGAAACTCGACAAAGTTTCCCCGCTGCTCCAGAGGGCACCAAATGACAAGCTGACGAACAGATCCGTTGCATTTCCGTTTCATTTCAAAATAAAACCTTTAATGTGAAGTTGAATTAACCGGACGAGGAAGTTTAATTAGAACTTATTAAAAACAATTTTACATGTATTATTATTATTATTATTATTATTATTATTATTATAAAAAAAAGGTCATGAAAACGGATAATTTTTTTTGACTTACCATTGTAAGTTGTTGTCCTTGTTAACTTTTTTGTTTATTTAGGCTGTATTTTTTATAATCATTATTTTATAACTTGGGTTCAGTCATGCACGTGTGTCCTTTTCTAGCTTTAGATTAATTATTCTGTCTGTGCACTCATTCATCAATTATGTTAGTATCGATGAATGAATGATTGTATTTTGATCACAAAAATATTTTCATTGATATTATTTTATTTCCTGTGTGTGTATATGTATGCATATCAATAACTGTATGTATTGATTGATTGGAGTGGATAAAAACATGAACATAAAACATAATTAACTTCATATTTAACTCGTTACTTATCTCAGCCGCACCACCACGTATTGAGCTTTTATTTTGAAGGCAGACGCCTCACTTCCGGGGTGACCGCCCACACACACACACACACACACGCACAGTGTTTGATCAGCCATGATTGAGTCAGTGCTCAGAGTTCAAACACTGATTTCAGTTCATCTGATCGATCAGACTGATTGATTACCAACCCTCTGAACAACCTGTCACCATCATCAGTCTCTGTGTAATCCATTAATAAATATATTGATTGGTGTGGAAGTGAAGCACAAACGCCCCCGTGTGGTCAAAAGATGTAAATGCAAACTTTATTACTGGACTGATGATAATCAATTATTGAGTTAATTTACACACAATCAATCAATAAATGATAAACAGTCTTATTATAAAACATAAACTTGATCACATCTAACAATAAACTGAATATTGATCAGCACTGAATATTGATCAATACTGATCACTGTTGCCCTTTGTGTTGTCATAAATAAAAGAGACCAAACTGGAGTTAAGTTTTTACAGTTTAATTAAATCTATTATTATTATTTATATTTATTATTTATATTTATTACAGGGGTAAAGAGAGAAGGAAGGACACAAACAGCCACAACTACACTAATATTAGTGACTGATGATGATGATGATCTGACCATGAAGAGCTTTATAGGTGAGGAGGAGGATTTTAAATTCTATTCTACATTTTATAGGGAGCCAATGCAGAGAAGCTAGTACAGGAGAGATGTGATCTCTTTTTCTAGTTCCTGTCAGTACTCGTGCTGCAGCGTTCTGAATTAATTGGAGCGTTTTAATGGACTTATTGGGGCAACCTGATAATAAAGAGTTGCAGTAATCCAGCCTTGAAGTAACAAATGCATGGATTAGTTTTTCTGCATCTGTCTGTGATAGGATGTGTCTAATTTTTGTAATATTACGTAAATGAAAGAAGGCAGTCCTAGAGGTCTGCTTTATGTGGGAGTTAAATGACAAATCCTGATCAAAGATAACTCCAAGATTCCTGACAGTGGTGCTAGAGGCCAAGGTAATGCCATCTAGAGTGACTATATCTTTAGACAATGAGTCTCTAAGGTTTTTGGGGCCAAGTACGAGAATTTCATTTTTTGCTGAGTTTAACATCAGAAAATTGCAGCTCATCCAGGATTTTATGTCATTAAGACATGCTTGTAATTTAGATAATTGATTAATTTCATCGGGCTTGATTGATAGATATAACTGCGTATCATCTGCATAACAGTGAAAGTTAATGGAGTGATTCCTAATAATGTTGCCTAAAGGGAGCATATATAAAGTAAATAGTATTGGTCCAAGTACAGAACCTTGTGGAACTCCATGACTAACTTTAGTATTTATGGAGGATTCATCGTTAACATGTACAAACTGAGAACGATCTGATAAGTATGACTTAAACCAGCTTAGTGCGGTTCCTTTAATGCCAATTTGATGCTCAAGTCTCTGTAAAAGAATATCATGGTCAATGGTGTCAAATGCAGCACTAAGATCTAATAATACAAGTACAGAGACAAGTCCATTGTCAGAAGCAGTCAGAAGGTCATTATTAACTTTAACCAGAGCTGTCTCTGTGCTATGATGAACTCTAAATCCTGACTGAAAATCCTCAAATAAACTATTGTTATGTAGAAAGTCACACAACTCTTTGGCGACTACTTTCTCCAGAATCTTAGAGAGGAAGGGGAGGTTAGAAATCGGTCTATAGTTGGCTAAAACCCCTGGGTCAAGAGTGGACTTTTTAAGAAGGGGCTTAATTACAGCTACTAACTGCAGAGGGGACCATCAGAACAGGAGTCTACAGTCTCTATTTTATATGTTATATTACAGTCTATATTTAATTTGATTTTTTCTTAGTTTTATATTTACACTTATATTGTTTACCTTGTGTGTTATGTGCAATCACTACTGTTTTATTGTAGTAGTATTTTTTTTTTTTTACTACTGGCTGCAAGTACAAAGAATGCATTTCACTGTGCAATGTATTATGTATGACTGTGCATGTGACAAATAAAACCTCTTATCTTATCTCAATGGACTCATTGATTAATTAAAATTAATTCAACTGATAATGAATAATTGATCATAAAAGTATATGTATTGATTTGAATTGTATTGATTTCCTGTGTGTCTGTGCCTGTATATAAATAACTGAATATATTGATTGATTGATTGATTGATTGATTGATTGGGTGGAATAAAGGAACTACAGACGTTCTTGTTGTTTAACGATGAATCATAATTATAATTTATAACCTTTTTATATGATGTGCAATAGCTGTACTAATCTATATATGCTAATCACATTCATTGATACTTTTAGGAAGTTCAACTTAAGATCAGTAAAATGTGAAGAACTAAAACTATGAAGACTTTATGATCTTCAAATAATCTATAGTGGGTCTGTGACATGAACATGTTTAATGATTGTTTATTGTTGTTTATGATTGTTTATGATTGTTTGTGATTGTCTGTGGTTGTTTATGATTGTTTAAGATTGTTTATGGTTGTTTATGATTGTTCATGATTGTGGTGGAATCTTGGAGTTATCTTTGATCAGGATTTATCATTTAACTCCCACATAAAGCAGACCTCTAGGACTGCCTTCTTTCATTTACGTAATATTAGAAAAATTAGACACATCCTATCACAGACAGATGCAGAAAAACTAATCCATGCATTTGTTACTTCAAGGCTGGATTACTGCAACTCTTTATTATCAGATTGCCCCAATAAGTCCATTAAAACGCTCCAATTAATTCAGAACGCTGCAGCACGAGTACTGACAGGAACTAGAACAAGAGATCACATCTCTCCTGTACTAGCTTCTCTGCATTGGCTCCCTATAAAATGTAGAATAGAATTTAAAATCCTCCTCCTCACCTATAAAGCTCTTCATGGTCAGGCCCCTTCATATCTTAAAGAGCTCATAGTACCCTATTACCCCTCTAGAACACTACGTTCTCTGAATGCTGGGCTACTTGTGGTTCCTATAGTCTCTAAAAGTAGAACAGGAGCCAGAGCCTTCAGTTACCAAGCTCCTCTCCTGTGGAACCAGCTTCCAGTTGTGGTTCGGGAGGCAGACACCCTCACCACATTCAAGAGTAGGCTTAAGACATTCCTCTTTGATAAAGCTTATAGTTAGGGCTGGATCAGGTGAGTCCTGAACCATCCCTTAGTTATGCTGCTATAGGCCTAGACTATCGGGGGATTTCCCATGGTGCACTGAGCTCCTCTCTTCCTCTCTCTTTCTGCACTCATTCATGTTCCATTAATGCATGTTACTAACTTCACTTCTTCCCCGGAGTTCTTGTGCTTTCTCGTCTCGCAGGTTCTCATGATCCTGGTGGAGCCTCCTGCCATGGTCCTGCTAGATTGCCGTTGCCAATACTGTTGTTGCTGTGCACCTGTCTCTCTCTGTCTGTCTCTCTCTCTCTCCCTCTCTCTCTCTCTCTCTCTCTCTCTCTCTCTCTCTCTCTCTCTCTCTCACCCCAACTGGTCGAGACAGACGACCACCCACCTAGAGCCGGAGGATCTGTCCTAGGTTTCTGCCTTTTAACAGGCAGTTTTTCCTTGCCCTTGTCGCCAAGTGCTTGCTCATGGTGGTACTGTTGGGTCTCTGTAATTAATGTTTTAAAGAGTTCGGTCTAGACCTGCTCTATTTGAAAAGTGTCCTGAGATAACTTCTGTTATGAATTGGTGCTATACAAATAAAATTGAATTGAATTGAATTGAATTGAATTGGTTGTTTATGATTGTTTATGATTGTTTATGATTGTTTATGATTGTTTGTGGTTGTCTATGATTGTTTATGATTTTTTGTGGTTGTTTATGGTTGTTTGTGGTTGTTTATGGTTGTTTACGATTGTTTGTGGTTGTTTATGATTGTTTGTGCTTGTCTATGATTGTTTACGATTGTTTTTGGTTGTTTATGATTGTTTGTGCTTGTCTATGATTGTTTATGATTGTTTGTGGTTGTTTATGATTGTTTGTGCTTGTCTATGATTGTTTATGATTGTTTGTGGTTGTTTATGGTTGTTTGTGGTTGTTTATGATTGTTTGTGCTTGTCTATGATTGTTTATGATTGTTTGTGGTTGTTTATGGTTGTTTACGATTGTTTGTGGTTGTTTATGGTTGTTTATGGTTGTTTACGGTTGTTTACGATTGTTTGTGGTTGTTTATGGTTGTTTAAGATTGTTTATGGTTGTTTATGATTGTTCATGATTGTAGTTGTTTATGATTGTTTGTGGTTGTTTATGGTTGTTTATGATTGTTTGTGGTTGTCTATGATTGTTTATAATTGTTTATGATTGTTTGTGGTTGTCTATGATTGTTTATGATTTTTTGTGGTTGTTTATGGTTGTTTGTGGTTGTTTATGGTTGTTTGCGATTGTTTGTGGTTGTTTATGATTGTTTGTGGTTGTTTGTGGTTGTCTATGATTGTTTATGATTGTTTATGATTGTTTATGATTGTTTGTGGTTGTCTATGATTGTTTATGATTTTTTGTGGTTGTTTATGGTTGTTTGTGGTTGTTTATGGTTGTTTATGATTGTTTGTGGTTGTTTATGGTTGTTTATGATTGTTTGTGGTTTAGATTGTTTGTGGTTGTTTTGTTGTTTGTTTTTTTTATGATTGTTTTATTGTTTATGATTGTTTTTTGTTATGATTGTTTATGATTTTTTGTGGTTGTTTATGGTTGTTTGTGGTTGTTTATGGTTGTTTATGATTGTTTGTGGTTGTTTATGGTTGTTTATGATTGTTTGTGGTTGTCTATGATTGTTTATGATTGTTTGAGGTTGTCTATGATTGTTTATGGTTGTTTATGGTTGTTTACGGTTGCTTGTGGTTGTTTATGATTGTTTACGATTGTTTGTGGTTGTTTATAATTTTTTATGATTGATGTGGTTGTCTATGATTGTTTACGATTGTTTGTGGTTGTTTATGATTGGTTATGATTGTTTGTCGTTGTCTATGATTGTTTACGATTGTTTGTGGTTGTTTATGATTGTTTGTGGTTGTCTATGATTGTTTATGGTTGTTTACAATTGTTTGTGGTTGTTCATGATTGTTTATGATTGTTTGTGGTTGTCTATGTTTGTTTATGATTGTTTGTGGTTGTTTATGATTGTTTGTGGTAGTTTATGATTGTTTACGTTGTTTACGATTGTTTGTGGTTGTTTACGATTGTTTGTGGTTGTTTATGATTGTTTATGATTGTTTATGGTTGTTTACGATTGTTTGTGGTTGTTTATGATTGTTTGTTTATGGTTGTTTATGATTGTTTATGGTTGTTTATGATTGTTTATGATTGTTTGTGGTTGTTTGTGGTTGTTTATGATTGTTTACGATTGTTTGTGGTTGTTTATGGTTGTTTATGATTGTTTGTGGTTGTTTGTGGTTGTTCATGATTGTTTACGATTGTTTGTGGTTGTTTATGGTTGTTTATGATTATTTGTGGTTGTCTATGATTGTTTATGATTGTTTGTGGTTGTTTATGATTGTGGTTGTTTATTATTGTTTGTGGTTGTCTATGATTGTTTATGATTGTGGTTGTTTATGATTTCTTATGATTGTTTGTGGTTGTTTATGATTGTTTACGGTTGTTTATGATTGTTTACGGTTGTTTACGATTGTTTGTGGTTGTTTATGATTGTTTATGATTGTTTATGGTTGTTTATGGTTGTTTACGGTTGTTTACAATTGTTTGTAGTTGTTTGTGGTTGTTTATGATTGTTTGTGGTTGTTTATGATTGTTTATGATTGTTTGTGGTTGTTTATGGTTGTTTATGTTTTTTACAGGTGCAGGTACAGCAAACTATAAACATATTCTGAGTGCCAGAATCACTTTTATTGATTGATGTGATCAATATTGACAGGAAATAATCCAACTTCATGCAGTTATTGAGTTCACTGTTTTGGGTAATTGATCAGTTTATCAGCTGTTCTCTGCGGTTATTGATACTGATCAATATGAATCATACAGTAAACAGTTGGGAACCAGTGACAGTGTAGGAATAACTCATCATTTACGGGTTTCACATTTCTGCCAGTAAAAATAAAATTTAATAAATAGAAATAAAACGTTTTAATTATGAGGTAAAAAGTAAAAAAGTTTTAATAATTACATGAAAGTTATTATTAGTTGTCACATCTCAGTAACAGTTTTTATTTAATTTAATTTAATAGTTTTATTGACTTCCTCCTGAGGCAGGCTGCCGGAGCGACGTGCTGACGTCAGCGGCCGTGCGTCAGTGGCTGTGGAGGAATGTGCGGAAACTTGTGGACTTTTCTTTATGCGCTGTTCGTCGAAGAAAAAGTCCCAACGGAGGAAAAAAGTGACAGAAAGTGGAGCGAAGTTTGGACCCGAAGAGTCGGTGAGTTCGGCGGGGTTTGAGTGTAAAATGGCGGCCGGTTGTCGGTCGCAGCTGCAGCTGGAAAGTTGTGGCAGTTTGGAGGAAAATGGAGGCGGTGAGTTGGTGAAGAAGAAGGCGCTGTCCGGGGCTGATCAGGACCATGGCTAACACTCCCACACAGCCAACCGACCCTCTACACCTCCGTCCGGCCTTAAACTTTAACTTCACCCCGAAACAGCTTCAGAAAGACCTCTTTTAATACTTTATATTAAGTCCACACTTCTCAGTCAAAATGTCGCTGTTTGATTTCTGCGCTTCCGCAAACCAACTTTTGTGTAACACCCCCAGAAATCTCATCCAGCGCTTTATAGAACAAATACTGACGTTTATTACTTTATTTATTACTTTATTGAACCTATAAACACAAACTCATAGTGTGTCGATTCAATTTAAACGCATTTCATTAGAAAGCACCATCACACTTTTAAATCACAGTTAAGTAGAAAAAAGTTGATGTTTTAATGCTCAGAAATGATCAAACTTTAACTTTTTAATCTTTAACTCACTTTGGATTTAAATAATCACCAAGTTTTAGCTCAGAAACAACTTTACTGTTAACTGTTAGCTCCCCGTAAAGCACCTTTTACTTTTCGCGTCCTCTCACCAAACTGCTATTAAGTTTCACCGTGTTTAAGGTTTGATCGGAAACCGTCGACAGGCGGTTGGATCAGGCTGATCTGAGTGTATTTGTCACTTTATGTTCTCAGTAAAAACTCAGTTTGTATCTTGTAGGTTGTGGTGATCAAACTATTGTCAGATGTGTTGTTTCTCACTGTAAAGCGAGCAGGGATTCATTCTCAGTGGAAGAAGTTAAAGTTGGTGTTTTCCAGAGGGAGTTCTGAATGTGTTTTCTCTCTGTCCTTATGGCGCTGTCGACTGAGCTGTGGTGCTGTTTCAAAATGGCCGACAGACTTTGAGTGCAGCAGCAGTGTGTGATGTCACATAACTATATATAATGAATATATAATTAATGAGTTGTTTCAGTGAGTTCACTGCAGCATATTTCACTCTTTCACAAGAGTCTAAATCAAACTGTTGATTTAAACTGAGCACTTCCAGACTCTGGGTCCAGATATATATATAGATATATATATATAGATATATATATATATAGATATATATCTATATATATATATAAATATATATATATATATATATATATATATGAGAGAGAGAGAGAGAGAGAGAGAGAGAGATGATAGATAGAGAGATAAATAGATAGATGGATAGAGATAGAGAGATAGATAGAGAGATGGATAGAGAGAGAGATGGATAGAGAGAGAGATGGATAGATAGAGAGATGGATAGAGAGATATAGATGAGAGATAGATGGATAGATAGAGAGATGAGAGATGGATGAGAGATAGAGAGATAGATGGATAGATGAGAGATAGATAGATGGATAGAGAGATAGATAGATAGAGAGATAGATAAATAGAGAGATAGATAGATAGAGAGATAGATGGATAGAGAGATAGATAGATAGAGAGATAGATAGATAGAGAGATAAATGGATAGATAGAGAGATAGATGGATAGAGAGAGAGATGGATGGATAGAGAGATAGATAGAGAGATAGATGGATAGAGAGATAAATGGAGAGATAGATGGATAGAGAGATAGATAGAGATGGATGAGAGATAGATAGATGAGAGATGGATGAGAGATAGATGGATAGATAGAGAGATGGATAGAGAGATAGAGAGAGAGATAGATGGATAGAGAGATAGATAGATAGAGAGATAGATGGATAGAGAGATAGATAGATAGAGAGATAGATAGATAGAGAGATAAATGGATAGATAGAGAGATAGATGGATAGAGAGAGATGGATGGATGAGAGATAAATGGATAGAGATAGATAGAGAGATAGATGGATAGAGAGATAAATGGAGAGATAGATGGATAAAGAGATAGATAGAGAGATGGATAGAGAGATAGATAGATAGAGAGATGGATAGAGAGATAGATGGATAGATAGAGAGATGGATAGAGAGATAGAGAGAGATAGATGGATAGAGAGATAGATAAATAGAGAGATAGATGGATAGAGAGATAGATGGATAGAGAGATAGATAGAGAGATGGATAGAGAGAGAGATAGATAGATAGAGAGATGGATAAAAGAGAGAGAGATAGATGGATAGATAGAGAGATAGAGAGATGGATAGAGATAGATGAGAGATAGATGGATAGATAGAGAGATAGATGGATAGATAGAGAGATAGAGAGATGGATAGAGAGATAGATGATAGAGAGATAGAGAGATGGATAGAGAGATAGATGGATGAGAGATAGAGAGATGGATAGAGAGATAGAGAGATGGATAGAGAGATAGATGGATAGATGTGCTGTGGGTTGTTTTCACTCTCATTATGAACAAACACATTTAATGTCTGAAGTCTTCTGCTGAATGTTCACTTTGTGCTCTGTGAATGACTTTAAAAGGGTGAGTGGTGTTAAAGGTGAAGAAAGGACATATTGACGTACTGTGTGTGGTGTTGAAGAGATATCCACTGAGGTTAGCGTGCTAACCAGCTAGCCTCGGTGCAGGTCCAGCTGGACGTGTGCAGGCGTCCTCAGCTTTAGACTACAGACAGGAACAGTCTAATCCAAGTTTTAAGATAATAACTGATCTTCTTTATCAAAGATGTGACTGTTTATTGTCGATGTAATTTCTAATTAATTATTAACAAGCTTATTTTAATAATTATCCTTCATGTAGTCGACAGCGTCCCGCAGTGAAGAGCTGAATCAACATGGCGGCTCAGACGATGTTCTCGGTGGAGATGTTTCCTGTCGGCGTGTCGATGATGGAGGACGGTCAGAGTCTCAGCGATATGCCCAGGAACACGCTGCCCGCCCCTCAGCTGGTGATGCTGGCCAACGTGGCGGCGGTGACGGCAGCGGAGGGCGCCGGCGCCGATGGCAGTGCAGCGGACGAGAAGGAGATGATGGAACTGAAGACAGTTGGATGCAGCTACTCGGACAGCGAGGACGAGAACATCATCAGGTCTGTGAGCGCCGGCTGAGTCATCATAATGTTACCTGTGTGTGAACTCACCTGTGTGTGAACTCACCTGTGTGTGAACTCACCTGTGTGTCTGACAGGTACAGCTACGACAACCAGAACCACAGAGAGGTCTGTATCATTGAGTACCCAGAGTCCCCGGGTCCGAGCATCGTCGCCGTGGTCGTGGGAAACAACGGGGAGGAGGACGGGGTCAAAGCTGAAGACCTGTCCCGGCGTACTGAGCCCCGCCCCTCCGTCAGCACCAAAACACCGGAGCAGGGCGCCAAACGTAAGGACGCCCCCGCCCCCGCCCCCGCAACTGCCCCCGCTCCCGCTGAGATAAACAAGAAGAAGAAGCCGTTCCACTGTAAGCCGTGTCACTTCCAGGCTCAGAACGAGCAGGAGTTCGTGGAGCACCTTGGCACTCACGGCATCAGCAAGATGATGGTGGTGAACCGCGTGGAGGGCAGGAGCAAGACCAGGTCCAAGGAGGCGGAGACGGCTGAGGCTCAGGTGCCGCTGGGAGGGGAGACGGAGAGCGGTGGTGAGGCGGCGGCAGGTGACATCAAAGGGCTGATTAGATGTGAACGTTGCGGCTACAACACCAACAGATACGACCATTACATCGCTCACCTGAAGCACCACAGCAAGGAGGGCGAGGACCACAGGTACACGGACCACACAGTCCACGTAGAGTCCGCACGTAGAGTCCACGTAGTTATTACATTTATGTGTAATAACTACGGCTTTATTAGGCTTTATTATATTGTGTGTGTGTGTGTGTGTGTGTGTGTGTGTGTGTGTGTGTGTGTGCAGGGTGTTTAAGTGCACTCTGTGTCCGTACACTACAGTCAGTCAGTACCACTGGAGGAAACACCTGAGGAATCACTTCCCCAGCAAACTGCACACCTGCAGCCAGTGTTCCTACTTCTCTGACCGCAAGAGCAACTACATCCAACACATCAGGACGCACACAGGTAGGACACCCCCTCTGCAGGGGTCAGAGGTTGTTGCTCTGTGTGACTGTGTGCAGATGGACTACAGGGTCCTGGTTGTGATGTGGTTTCTGGAGAATCCTGATTATGTTTCTGTGCTCAGGTGTTCGTCCGTTCCAGTGTCCGTACTGCGACTACTCCAGCTCTCAGAAGACCCACCTGACCCGACACATGAGGACTCACTCTGGTCAGTCGTCCAGTGTCTGTTACAGTGATCAATAACTTACTGATCAGTGATTGTGACCTATATTAATAATAATTGTAATATTTACTCTGTTGGATGGTGGCACAGAGGACTAAAGATTATTTTCATTATGGATTAATCTCCATTAATCGATTAGTTGTTTGGTCCATTAAAGTTCATTTAACAGTTGATAACCAACCAATAATCGATCAATGGTTGCACAGAATAGTGTTGAGCTGTCTCTTCCTGACACCCCTTCCAGCAGGTTAGGCCTGTTGTCATGGAGAAGTAAATCCCTGCCGAGCTGGTCCAAACCGAGTCAAATACATGTTTACTGGTCTCGAGTCACAGGACTGGAGACTGTCAGCAACCTCGGAGTAAAGGCTGTAAACGATAGCACAGTGGTAGCATCTTTAGCACTAATAGCATTAGTTGTAGTAGTAGTAGCAGTGTAGCATTAGCAGTAGCACCATTAGCAGTAGCACCATTAGCAGTAGCTAGTAGTTGTAGTAGCAGTGTAGCATTAGCAGTAGCACCATTAGCAGTAGCAGTAGCACTAATAGCATTAGTAGTAGTAGTAGTAGCAGTGTAGCATTAGCAGTAGCACCATTAGCAGTAGCACTAATAGCATTAGTTGTAGTTGCAGTAGCATTAGCATTGCTATCAGTATTAGCAGCAGTGTGTGATTAATGATTGAATTCTTCCTGTCACTGACTGTTTGTGTTACTCTCACTGAAGCTGTCGCTGATGTTGGATCAATATGGTAATGTGATTAGCTTTGAGCTACGTGCTGTGACTTCCTGTGTTGTGGTCCTGAAGCAGATCAGTCTGAAACCACGTCTGTAGGAACCAGCAGAGGTTTCTGAAACCACGTCTGTAGGAACCAGCAGAGGTTTCTGAAACCACGTCTGTAGGAACCAGCAGAGGTTTCTGAAACCACGTCTGTAGGAACCAGCAGAGGTTTCTGAAACCACGTCTGTCGGAACCAGCAGAGGTTTCTGAAACCACGTCTGTAGGAACCAGCAGAGGTTTCTGAAACCACGTCTGTAGGAACCAGCGAGGTTTCTGAAACCACGTCTGTAGGAACCGCAGAGGTTTCTGAAACCACGTCTGTCGGAACCAGCAGAGGTTTCTGAAACCCGTCTGCAGGAACCAGCAGAGGTTTCTGAAACCACGTCTGCAGGAACCAGCAGGGTTTCTGAAACCACGTCTGCGGACCAGCAGAGGTTTCTGAAACCACGTCTGTAGGAACCAGCAGAGGTTTCTGAAACCACGTCTGCCGGAACCAGCAGAGGTTTCTGAAACCACGTCTGCAGGAACCAGCAGAGGTTTCTGAAACCACGTCTGCCGGAACCAGCAGAGGTTTCTGAAACCACGTCTGCAGGAACCAGCAGAGGTTTCTGAAACCACGTCTGCAGGAACCAGCAGAGGTTTCTGAAACCACGTCTGTAGGAACCAGCAGAGGTTTCTACAGACGTGGTTTCAAACTCAGGTTGATCTGTTCTGTGTGGACGTGGAACTTCCTGCATGAACAGTTTTGTTTCAGGAGGGACAGACTGTCAGTGACACATTGACTTTACATACAGTATAAACCGAACTGTCGGTGATTTACAGTTTACTGATGGAACTATAGCCGTAGCTAGCTGTTGTTAGCAATTAGCTGCTGTAGCTGCTGACTAGCTTCTGCTGTTAGCTGGTTAGCGGTGCAGCTAACTCAGTTGGCAGTGTTCAGGAGCTCCCAGTCCGTTAGCAGCAGTTAGCGGTTAGCTAATATCTACAAGCTAATGTCCATCAGTGAACTCTGTAGCTCCCCGAGAGTCAAGCAGAGAATCCAGAAAATGTGTAAAAGCACTTTGTGCCGATTGGACGGGTTAGCATAGCAGCGTTCAACCAAACTCCATTCAGGAAACAAGCATTTAAAAAGTTGGTTGCTTCAATCACAGAATAATCTGGTTATTCTGAAAAGTCGCCGTTAGACAGACTGAGCGCGCTCAGTCCTTCAGAAGTAGAAACATTCAGAGTAATCTATATACGAGTAATACTTTATGAGGCAGGTTATTGTACAGCTGCACAGTAAAGGTAAAAAACACTCAATGATAATTAAATGCAAACAAAATAAAATGGATTAAATGTGAATTCAACAGTGAAATTAGATGTTGGAAATATTGAAAAAGAGTTCATCCTTTGATGTAATCTAAAATCGCAGCAACTCATTGATCATTGATCGTCTGTCCTGCTGCATGCAACCCTTTGCTGTCTTACCTGTACAGCATCCTCTGCAGCACTGTGACATTTGCTTACCTTCTTGTGTGCAGGTGAGCGTCCGTTCAAGTGCGAGAGCTGTAACTACCTGGCAGCCAACCAGCACGAGGTGACACGCCACGCCCGGCAGGTCCACAACGGCCCCAAACCTCTCTCCTGCCCCTACTGCGAGTACAAGACCGCTGACCGCAGCAACTTCAAGAAGCACGTGGAGCTCCACCTTAACCCTCGCCAGTTCCTCTGCCCTCTTTGCAAGTATGCAGCCTCCAAGAAGTGCAACCTGCAGTACCATATCAAGTCCAGGCACTCCGGCTGCAACGTCGCCGTGGACATCTCCAAGGTCAAACTGCGCGTTAAAAAACCCGGTGCCGAGGAGACCTCCAGAGCAAACAAGTTTGACAATTCATCCAGCGTTGAGGAGGACTTCGACATGGACGAGGATGACGGGGACGAGGACGGGAGTGTGGAGTCGAGCCCGATCAATCTGTCAATCAGAAAGAGCAGCCGACCCGGCATCGGGCAACTGGTGCAGAGTGACGCACCGGACAAGAAGAAATCCAACGTCACTTCTGAGAAACTCCAAAAAGCGAAGGACAAGGTGGAACCGGAGAAAATGGTCACAACCAGACAGAAGAAGATCGACAGGGTCAACAAGGCTCTTCTGGAGGACAAATCTGTTAAAGAAACCCAGATGGTCACAACAACAGCTGCTGGAAATACAGACAACAAGACAAAGAGACGAGTCAAGAAGCTGCAGACAGAGAAAGCGACTGTCCACAATCCAGCCGAAGAAACAGCATCAGAAAAAGACCAAACACAGAAACCTGACCAGCAGATATTGGAGGAGGTAGTGAGGCCCAACAAGGAGAAAGATCGTCAGAAGAATGACAGCGGTGCAAAAGAGAACAAAAGCCTGCACAAGCCAAGGAAGTCTGGATCAAAGAAGTCAGAAAAAATCCCAGAAGAAGATCAGCAGAAACCAGACAGTCAAAAGGAGAAGGCAGTGAAGGAGAAGGCTGCAAAGAGGAAGGCAGTGGAGGCTCTCGATCTTTCCAAAAAGTCCTCGTCTGAGACTCCAGCCAAGTCCAGACGGCTGAAAGCAGCAGAGAAACCGGTTCCAGAAGATGCGAAGAAGATAAATGATGCCCCTCCTGCAATGCAGAAGACTCCTGTGAAGCAGAAGAAGTCCAGGAACACCAGCAAGAAATCCCCAGTCCTCCAACAAACTGTGGATCCACGTAAAGATGAGACAAACAGTCCATCCACAGAGGCTCCTGAAGCTTCTGCTCAGCCGGACAACCCAACACAAACCACATACAACAGTCCTGCACAGAAGAACGCCTCCACAGGTGAAACAGCTTCAACAATATCAAACAAACCCCCAGAGAAGATGGAGGTTGCACCCACCTGCAGTTCAGGTGAGGACACACCTTCTCCAGCTGAGAACCGCCCCGCTCCCACCTTCCTTAAACCCACATCACCACCGTCTCTGGTGCTTCCGGGCCAGCGGAGCAAACCCGCTGATCCAGAGGACGACGAGGGCATCCACAGCAGCCACGAAGGGGGCAGCGACATCAGCGACAGCGCCTCAGAGGGCAGTGACGACTCCGGCCTCAACGGCAACGGCGCCAGGTCGGGCAAGATGGCCAATGACCCCGAAACACCAACCGACGAGATCCCGACCCCAACGGAGCTCAAGAGTCACATGTGCATCTTCTGCGACCGTACGTTCCCTCTGGAAGTAGAGTACCGCCGCCACCTTAACCGCCATCTCGTCAACGTCTACTACATGGAAACCGCCAAAGGACAGAACTGAGGGTCAGTAACCATGGCAACGCATTCTGCATGGACAGTTTGTTGTCAAAATATCAGTTTGTCCCAGTTAGCTTTCCGTTCTTGGTGTCTGTCTGTTTAAAACACGGTTCTATAAACTCACTGTAGGCCTCATTAAAAGGGTCCAAGCACCAGCATCGTTCCCAAACCCAGTTTTAACAATTGGTCTCTGTTGTGTCGGGTCAGAGACCAAACTGGGGTCTAAATAGTCTCTGGAACCTATTTGTTAGAAACCAGCATTTTGGTCTCTCTACAGCTGTACAACTTACCCCTTTAAATGATAATAAGGATTAAAGTTTGGCAGAATTAAGAGTGTTCTTCAGAAACCGACACTACGGACATATTTCCGTGTGTGCAGATCCAGCTGTAGGTGGCGCTGTAACACGTTGTCCTGCTGGTAGGCAGACTTAAACTGTTTTTTCATTTAAAAACTAAAACTTTGCTTTCTGTGGTCTCGTGCTGCCACCTAGTGTCCCTCCAGAGAACAGACTCTGGTTTGGGGTTGTGTTGGGTTCTTGGACCCCAGATTCTGGTTCACTGTAGACCTTTACCCCCAAATCAGCTCTGGTTCTTGAACTGGTTCCTCTCTATATGCTCTCAACCTTGGTTCTGATGAACCAGCCCGAGTTTCTACCAGTTCAGTGGAACCACTGTAATCAGATGTTTCACCAGCAGAGGGCGCTGCACAGCGACCTGCAGAATAAGACACACCCACTTTGGTTCCAGCTGGGAACCAACTTCACAGGTTCTGAACACTTGGTGCTTGAACTGGAACTGAGAACGTTCCCTGCTGGTGGAGGAGACCTGTCGTACCCTCAAAGTTCGGCTCTGTGATCCACGTCTTCTAAATCGAGAGCGTTTCAGAAGTACAGCATCCTCGGAGCGTCCTCTGAGCGTCTTCCTGTCCGACGCTGACTTGAGCGTTAGAACCCTGATGTCTGTGTGTTGGGAGTGGACGCTCGTAGGTGGATGTTCATTATCACGTTATCATGTTAACGCTTCCTGTCTGTGTTTGGATAATGAACAGAAACTCACACAAACAATATTGTAAAATCCTTCAGTGCCTTTGACAATCAGTCTGTACAGAAACACTTTGTTAGGTTTTAGGTTGACGTTGGAGACGAGGGAGTCGGTGTGAACGCTGAGCTCTGATTGGTTAACGGCGAGGCCCGAGGGGAATTCTGTAAATAATTGTGTGCAATATTCCTTTAGTTGAGAAGCCAAAGTGAACTGTTGTTGTTTGTGTGTAAAGAACATTTTCAGTTTATGAGACATCGTCAGACTTTAGATGAATTATCGTTAGAGGATCTTTAACAGCAGTAACTCCTCCCAGCAGTGTAATCTATTACTGTGTGTATCTGTAATTACTCTGCTCTCATACATTAAAGGATAAATCTAGTTTTATCTTTTTATTTCCATCACAACTTCCTGTGTTCACTGATTCATTAATGAATCATTATGGTCCAAAGAAAACAATGAATTTATATTTCACAGATATGTCTGAATATTAAACAGCAGTGTGATGTCAATAAGGATCAATAACGCCGTCTTCACCCTTTAAAGGAGAGTTATTATTCTGTTTGCTGTTATTAATGAAACAGAAATATAAGTGTTTGTCATTAACTAACAGTCGGTATCATTCTGTCTTCTGCTCTTTTTTAAATAAAGGTTGTCACAATCAATGTTTGTTTGTGCGACTCCGTTCCTCATAAAGTGGACAGATGCTGTGGTGCATTGTGGGATTGTTACTCTGACGTTGGACCGACAGATATCAAGTTACAGCGAGGTCCAAATACTGAACTGCACGGACGGGTTCTCCTCACTCACCGACACTAATTCAATCCAATTTTATTTGTATAGCACCAATTCATAACAGAAGTTATCTCAGGACACTTTTCAAATAGAGCAGGTCTAGACCGAACTCTTTATAACATTATTTACAGAGACCCAACAGTACCACCATGAGCAAGACCTTGGAGACAAGGGCAAGGAAAAACTGCCTGTTAAAAGGCAGAAAAGAGAGAGAGAGAGACAAAGGTGCACAGCAACAACAGTAGCAACAACTACACTAATAGTTGTGACTGATGATGATGAACATGAAGAAGATGATGACAACAGCAACGATGGGGACAATGAGCAGTGACAATAGTAATAATAGTAACTGTAGTAATATTAATATTAATAATATCAGTAATATTAGCAATGGCACTCAAGCAGGACCATGGCAGGAGGCTCCACCAGGATCCATGAGAACCTGCGAGACGAGAAAGCACAAGAACTCCGGGGAAGAAGTGGAGTTAGTAACATGCATTAATGGGACATGAATGAGTGCAGAAAGAGAGAGGAAGAGAGGAGCTCAGTGCACCATGGGAAATCCCCCGATAGTCTAGGCCTATAGCAGCATAACTAAGGGATGGTTCAGGACTCACCTGATCCAGCCCTAACTATAAGCTTTATCAAAGAGGAATGTCTTAAGCCTACTCTTGAATGTGGTGAGGGTGTCTGCCTCCCGAACCACAACTGGAAGCTGGTTCCACAGGAGAGGAGCTTGGTAACTGAAGGCTCTGGCTCCTGTTCTACTTTTAGAGACTATAGGAACCACAAGTAGCCCAGCATTCAGAGAACGTAGTGTTCTAGAGGGGTAATAGGGTACTATGAGCTCTTTAAGATATGAAGGGGCCTGACCATGAAGAGCTTTATAGGTGAGGAGGAGGATTTTAAATTCTATTCTACATTTTACAGGGAGCCAATGCAGAGAAGCTAGTACAGGAGAGATGTGATCTCTTTTTCTAGTTCCTGTCAGTACTCGTGCTGCAGCGTTCTGAATTAATTGGAGCGTTTTAATGGACTTATTGGGGCAACCTGATAATAAAGAGTTGCAGTAATCCAGCCTTGAAGTAACAAATGCATGGATTAGATATGTATATTATTGATGATATTATTAATCAATTACAACTAATAATATTTATATATTAATAACAAATAATATAAATTTTATCTTAACTAAAAATATACATTATATAGTGTGTGTGTCTGTGTGTGTGTGTGTTACGGTGTGTCTGTGTTACTGTGTGTGTGTGTGTGTGTGTATGTGTGTGTAGAACAATAAAGAACCAACATATTAAACTGTCTCTTTATTAACGTCCATCATCAGGTTCTCTACAGGAACCACAATGTTTTTTATGTTCAGTTAACACCACGTATCCATGGAAACAGGTGATAGTGTCACTGAGACCACGGCGCTCCGTGTCCTCCATCAAAGCGTCCTCCTCCCACCCATCTGCAGGCCTCACTTCTTCATCTTCTTCATCTTCTTCACCTTCTTCTTCACATGCAGCCTCTCGGCGCCGTGGATCGACAGCCCGCCGTCCAGCAGCCCCGGAGGTTTCATGGGTTTGTAGGCGGCAGATTTTTGGATGCGTTCTCCTTTCAGAGAGACAATGTGAGGAAGCAGCGGTGGCGTCCGCACACTGAACGCCACCGCCTCTGGACCGTGAACCCTCAACAGAACCTCATCACCTTCTGCTGCTGTCACTGCCACCCAACCTGAGAGAGAGACAGACAGAGAGAGACAGAGAAAGAAAGAAACGACCAAAACACAAAGTAAATTACAATGTTATCTGACCTTAAAAAGAGAATTCAAACTGGCTGACAAATTACCTCATCACAATAAAATGTCCTAAACTAAGAAAAATGTTGACAATGTACAGACTGAGTGAACACAGCCTGGCCATAGAAACGGGTCGCCACAGACAGAACTGGCTACCAGAAGAGGAGAGACTCTGCTCCCAGTGTGACAGAGGACAGGTAGAGACAGAGCTAACACACTAACACACTGCAGCACTGACACACTGCAGCACAGACACTGACACACTGCAGCACTGACACACTAACACACTGCAGCACTGACACACTGCAGCACTGACACACTGCAGCACTGACACACTGCAGCACAGACACTGACACACTGCAGCACTGACACACTGCAGCACTGACACACTAACACACTGCAGCACTGACACACTGCAGCACTGACACACTGCAGCACTGACACACTAACACACTGCAGCACTGACACACTGCAGCACTGACACACTGCAGCACTGACACACTAACACACTGCAGCACAGACACACTGCAGCACTGACACACTGCAGCACTGACACACTAACACACTGCAGCACTGACACACTAACACACTGCAGCACAGACACACTGCAGCACTGACACACTAACACACTGCAGCACTGACACACTGCAGCACTGACACACTAACACACTGCAGCACTGACACACTAACACACTGCAGCACTGACACACTGCAGCACTGACACACTAACACACTGCAGCACAGACACACTGCAGCACTGACACACTGCAGCACTGACACACTAACACACTGCAGCACAGACACACTGCAGCACTGACACACTGCAGCACTGACACACAGACACATTGCAGCACTGACACACTGCAGCACAGACACACTGCAGCACAGACACACTGCAGCACAGACACTGACACACTGCAGCACAGACACACTGCAGCACTGACACACTAACACACTGCAGCACTGACACACTGACACACTGCAGCACTGACACACTGCAGCACTGACACACTGCAGCACTGACACACTAACACACTGCAGCACAGACACACTGCAGCACTGACACACTGCAGCACTGACACACTAACACACTGCAGCACTGACACACTGCAGCACTGACACACTGACACACTGCAGCACTGACACACTGCAGCACTGACACACTAACACACTGCAGCACAGACACACTGCAGCACTGACACACTAACACACTGCAGCACTGACACACTGCAGCACTGACACACTGCAGCACAGACACACTGCAGCACAGACACTGACACACTGCAGCACAGACACACTGCAGCACTGACACACTAACACACTGCAGCACAGACACACTGCAGCACTGACACACTGCAGCACTGACACACTAACACACTGCAGCACTGACACACTGCAGCACTGACACACTAACACACTGCAGCACAGACACACTGCAGCACTGACACACTGCAGCACAGACACTGACACACTGCAGCACAGACACATTGCAGCACTGACACACTGCAGCACAGACACACTGCAGCACAGACACTGACACACTGCAGCACAGACACACTGCAGCACAGACACATTGCAGCACTGACACATTGCAGCACAGACACACTGCAGCACAGACACACTGCAGAACAGACAGTAACACACTGCAGCACAGACACACTGCAGAACAGACAGTAACACACTGCAGCACAGACACACTGCAGCACAGACAGTAACACACTGCAGCACAGACACACTGCAGAACAGACAGTAACACACTGCAGCACAGACACACTGCAGAACAGACAGTAACACACTGCAGCACAGACACACTGCAGAACAGACAGTAACACACTGCAGCACAGACACACTGCAGCACAGACAGTAACACACTGCAGCACAGACACACTGCAGCACAGACACATTGCAGCACTGACACACAGACACACTGCAGCACAGATATTGACATATTTAATTTTTTAAATTTTAATTTAATATTGAATTTTAATTTAATATTGAATTTTAATTAAATTTTAAATTTTAATTTAATCACACATTATTGATGATCGGATTATTGATGAACTTTCAGCTGTTTACCTGCAGACGATAGTTTGATGTCCGCGGCAGCCTCCAGGAACCCTCGACCCTCCAGCCTGAACACCTGAGGAATCAACGCAGGAAACTCCTTCATCCGCTCCGACCCTCCCAGAGGAACCTGAACGCACCACACAGGTATCAGTATGACATCATTGGTGTAAACTAATCATGTGACCACAGGTGAGTGCGTCTCACCCCCAGCAGGACGTGTCCCGCATGTTTCTCATAGACACTGTCGGCCTTCTCCAGACTGGTGATGTGAACTGGGACCTGACTGGAGGCCACGACCGAAAACCAGCAGGATGTCTCCCCCTGTGGACGAGACCAGATCAATAACGGCTGATCAATAACGGCTGATCACTGATAAATACAAGCGCTGCCCTGAGGCTGTATCTGTAAAGTGAGAACATCCACAGGTTCAATGAGCAGTAAGTATGGTGGCCCTTCAAGGACATTTCAGAGTCAAACAGACAGAACTGATTGAAGTGTAACTCTTCTGGCTAAGAACAAAGACGGATTAACTCAAATATTAAAAACCCATCAATTGCTGTGTTGATTGCTGTACTGATTGCTGTGTTGATTGCTGTGTTGATTGCTGTACTGATTGTGTTGATTGCTGTACTGATTGCTGTGTTGATTGCTGTACTGATTGCTGTACTGATTGCTGTATTGATTGCTGTACTGATTGCTGTACTGATTGCTGTACTGATTGCTGTACTGATTGCTGTATTGATTGCTGTACTGATTGCTGTACTGATTGCTGTATTGATTGCTATACTGATTGCTATACTGATTGCTGTGTTGATTGCTGTATTGATTGCTATACTGATTGCTGTGTTGATTGCTGTACTGATTGCTGTTGCTGTGTTGATTGCTGTATTGATTGCTATAGTGATTGCTATACTGATTGCTGTACTGATTGCTGTACTGATTGCTGTGTTGATTGCTGTACTGATTGCTGTATTGATTGCTGTACTGATTGCTGTATTGATTGCTGTACTGATTGCTGTATTGATTGCTGTTGCTGTGTTGATTGCTGTATTGATTGCTGTTGCTGTGTTGATTGCTGTATTGATTGCTGTACTGATTGCTGTGTTGATTGCTGTACTGATTGCTGTACTGATTGCTGTATTGATTGCTGTATTGATTGCTGTGTTGATTGCTGTGTTGATTGCTGTGTTGATTGCTGTATTGATTTCTGTTGCTGTGTTGATTGCTGTATTGATTGCTGTATTGATTGCTGTATTGATTGCTGTTGCTGTGTTGATTGCTGTATTGATTGCTGTTGCTGTGTTGATTGCTGTATTGATTGCTATACTGATTGCTGTATTGATTGCTATAGTAATTGCTATACTGATTGCTGTACTGATTGCTATACTGATTGCTGTATTGATTGCTGTACTGATTGCTATACTGATTGCTGTATTGATTGCTGTACTGATTGCTATACTGATTGCTGTGTTGATTGCTGTACTGATTGCTGTGTTGATTGCTGTACTGATTGCTATACTGATGGCTGTATTGATTGCTATACTGATTGCTGTACTGATTGCTGTACTGATTGCTATACTGATTGCTGTATTGATTGCTATAGTGATTGCTATACTGATTGCTGTACTGATTGCTATACTGATTGCTGTATTGATTGCTGTACTGATTGCTGTATTGATTGCTATACTGATGGCTGTACTGATTGCTGTACTGATTGCTGTACTGATTGCTGTACTGATTGCTGTGTTGATTGCTGTGTTGATTGCTATGTTGATTGCTGTGTTGATTGCTGTGTTGATTTCTGTACTGATTGCTGTACTGATTGCTGTACTGATTGCTGTACTGATTGCTGTGTTGATTGCTGTACTGATTGCTGTACTGATTGCTGTGTTGATTGCTGTACTGATTGCTGTTGCTGTGTTGATTGCTGTACTGATTGCTATACTGATTGCTGTACTGATTGCTGTACTGATTGCTGTATTGATTGCTATACTGATTGCTATACTGATTGCTGTACTGATTGCTGTATTGATTGCTATACTGATTGCTATACTGGTGGCTGTACTGATTGCTGTACTGATTGCTGTACTGATTGCTGTACTGATTGCTATATTGATTGCTGTATTGATTGCTGTACTGATTGCTGTATTGATTGCTGTACTGATTGCTATACTGATTGCTGTATTGATTGCTATAGTGATTGCTATACTGATTGCTGTACTGATTGCTATACTGATTGCTGTATTGATTGCTGTACTGATTGCTGTATTGATTGCTATACTGATGGCTGTATTGATTGCTGTACTGATTGCTGTACTGATTGCTGTACTGATTGCTGTATTGATTGCTGTACTGATTGCTGTATTGATTTCTGTACTGATTGCTGTACTGATTGCTGTACTGATTGCTGTGTTGATTGCTATGTTGATTGCTGTGTTGATTGCTGTATTGATTTCTGTACTGATTGCTGTACTGATTGCTGTACTGATTGCTGTACTGATTGCTGTACTGATTGCTGTGTTGATTGCTGTACTGATTGCTGTTGCTGTGTTGATTGCTGCACTGATTGCTATACTGATTGCTGTATTGATTGCTATACTGATTGCTATACTGGTGGCTGTACTGATTGCTGTACTGATTGCTGTACTGATTGCTGTACTGATTGCTATATTGATTGCTGTATTGATTGCTGTACTGATTGCTATACTGATTGCTGTATTGATTGCTGTATTGATTGCTGTACTGATTGCTATATTGATTGCTGTATTGATTGCTGTACTGATTGCTATACTGATTGCTGTATTGATTGCTGTACTGATTGCTGTACTGATTGCTGTATTGATTGCTGTACTGATTGCTGTACTGATTGCTATATTGATTGCTGTATTGATTGCTGTACTGATTGCTATACTGATTGCTGTATTGATTGCTGTATTGATTGCTGTACTGATTGCTGTGTTGATTGCTGTACTGATTGCTGTTGCTGTGTTGATTGCTGTACTGATTGCTATACTGACTGCTATACTGATTGCTGTACTGATTGCTGTATTGATTGCTGTACTGATTGCTATACTGATTGCTGTATTGATTGCTATACTGATTGCTGTACTGATTGCTGTACTGATTGCTGTACTGATTGCTGTACTGATTGCTATATTGATTGCTGTATTGATTGCTGTACTGATTGCTATACTGATTGCTGTATTGATTGCTGTATTGATTGCTGTGTTGATTGCTGTACTGATTGCTGTACTGATTGCTGTTTGATGACCTGCAGGAAGTCGATCCTGGCCAGCGCTCCCACAAACAGACTCATACTGGGCTTCAACACAAACGTCCTCGGGACCACGGCCTGAGACGGGACCACTGACATCACTTCCTGTTCTGTCAACAGGCTGAGGATCTGACATACGGACAGACAGACAGACAGCATGAGAGCTGATTAGTTGTTGTACATGTTGTATATGATTATTATTGTTAGCAGTACTAATAGTATTATTAGCAGTATTATTAGCAGTACTAATAGTATTATTAGCAGTACCTTTAGTATTATTAGCAGTATTATTAGCAGTACTAATAGTATTATTAGCAGTATTATTAGCAGTACCTTTAGTATTATTAGCAGTATTATTAGCAGTACTAATAGTATTATTAGCAGTATTATTAGCAGTACTAATAGTATTATTAGCAGTATTATTAGCAGTACCTTTAGTATTATTAGCAGTATTATTAGCAGTACTAATAGTATTATTAGCAGTATTATTAGCAGTACTAATAGTATTATTAGCAGTACCTTTAGTATTATTAGCAGTATTATTAGCAGTACTAATAGTATTATTAGCAGTATTATTAGCAGTACCTTTAGTATTATTAGCAGTATTATTAGCAGTACTTATAGTATTATTAGCAGTATTATTAGGAGTACTTATAGTATTATTAGCAGTATTATTAGCAGTACTATTAGGAGTACTTATAGTATTATTAGCAGTATTATTAGCAGTATTATTAGGAGTACTTATAGTATTATTAGGAGTACTTATAGTATTATTAGCAGTATTATTAGCAGTATTATAAGGAGTACTTATAGTATTATTAGCAGTATTATTAGGAGTACTTATAGTATTATTAGTAGTATTATTAGCAGTATTATTAGCAGTACCTATAGTATTATTAGCAGTATTATTAGGAGTACTTATAGTATTATTGGCAGTATTATTAGCAGTACTATTAGGAGTACTTATAGTATTATTAGCAGTATTATTAGCAGTACTTATAGTATTATTAGCAGTATTATTAGCAGTACTATTAGGAGTACTTATAGTATTATTAGCAATATTATTAGGAGTACTTATAGTATTATTAGCAGTATTATTAGGAGTACTTATAGTATTATTAGCAGTATTATTAGGAGTACTTATAGTATTATTAGTAGTATTATTAGCAGTATTATTAGCAGTACCTATAGTATTATTAGTAGTATTATTAGCAGTATTATTAGGAGTACTTATAGTATTATTAGTAGTATTATTAGCAGTAATATTAGCAGTACCTATAGTATTATTAGCAGTATTATTAGGAGTACTTATAGTATTATTGGCAGTATTATTAGCAGTACTATTAGGAGTACTTATAGTATTATTAGCAGTATTATTAGCAGTATTATTAGCAGTATTATTAGGAGTACTATTAGGAGTACTTATAGTATTAGCAGTATTATTAGCAGTACTATTAGGAGTACTTATAGTATTATTAGCAGTATTATTAGCAGTACTATTAGGAGTACTTATAGTATTATTAGCAGTATTATTAGCAGTATTATTAGCAGTATTATTAGCAGTACTATTAGGAGTACTATTAGGAGTACTTATAGTATTATTAGCAGTACTATAGCGAGCAACAGTGTCTCACATCGTGTTCCTTCATGATTCCCGGGGTGTCGAACAGCCAGTGAGCGTCTTTCAGCTCGTTCACCGTGAACTCATCAGCCAACCTGCTGGGAGCTGAGAGATCACACAGAGGTCAGAGGTCACACAGGGGTCACACGGAGGTCAGAGGTCACACAGGGGTCAGAGGTCACACAGGGGTCAGAGTGCAGTGACTGTGTGTTCAGTCACATTGCGACATAAAGAATCAGTTCTTTGTTTATTAGTTTATTAGCTGCTAACGATGTAGCTTCTCTTCCACCTGTAACTGATGACATCAGAGATCATTTGTCCAATGAGATTTGTCCTCACCTTTTATCGTCATCTGTCCCTCTTCATTTTCTCCAAAAGCCAACCTGTCGGGATCAAACTCGATCTCATCCCGTCTGGACCTGACATCAGACCGGAACGTCCTGCCAACACGACCTAGAAAGGTAGGTGGACAGGTGGACAGGTAAACAGGTGAACAGGTGAACAGGTGAATAGGTAAACAGGTGGACAGGTGGACAGGTAAATAGGTAAACAGGTGGACAGGTGGACAGGTGAACAGGTGAACAGGTGGACAGGTAAACAGGTGGAAAGGTAAACAGGTAAACAGGTGGACAGGTGAACAGGTGGACAGGTAAACAGGTGAACAGGTAAACAGGTAAACAGGTAAACAGGTGGACAGGTAAACAGGTGGACAGGTGGACAGGTAAACAGGTGAACAGGTAAACAGGTGGAAAGGTAAACAGGTAAACAGGTAAACATGTGGACAGGTGAATAGGTGAATAGGTGAATAGGTAAACAGGTGGACAGGTGGACAGGTAAATAGGTAAACAGGTGGACAGGTAAACAGGTAAACAGGTGGACAGGTAAACAGGTGAACAGGTGAACAGGTAAACAGGTAAATAGGTAAATAGGTAAACAGGTGGACAGGTAAACAGGTAAACAGGTGAACAGGTGGACAGGTATCAGGTGGACAGGTGAACAGGTGTTCTCTCCCCCCCACTCTCCCCCGTCTTACCCATGAGGTATCCCTGCCGGCTGAAGTGTTGGAGTCTCTTAACCTCGTCCTGCGACAGCTCACTCTCCGTCTGTCTCGACGCTTCGTTCAGTCGCTCCTGTCGTCTGAACATCCGGTACGGAGTCGGGTTGATGATGGGAAACTTCAGCAGGTTCAGAGTCGTCCCTGAACGCACCACAGTGGGAAAAACAAGCACGGTCACATGACGACCAATCATAAAACAGTTGGACTACAGCAAATACTGATCAAAGTTTATTGATCCAGTATTGGATTATTATTTTTCATTACATTGTGCTGATGAATCTCACTTTATATTTCTAATCTTTTAATTCTACCAAACTTCATTTGCATCAATGCTCATTTACACATAAAAGAACTAGTTTAATATTTAATATATCAAACATTTCTAAAGTTATTCTGCCTATAAAATGATTCCCAGATTCCAAAACAATGAAAGTCCTCAGTGACGACTGTAGATTCAAACACAATTTCCCATCATGCTGTGGGAGCTCTGTGTGTTACAATAAACAAACAAACCTTCAATGGACAGAAATGTGAATGGAGTGTGGTGTGCTCACCGGGCCAGGGCGATATGGTGGCTTTGTGGATGGCATCGGGGACTTTGGACTTGCAGTAGTCGGACTCGAGCAGCGTGTTGAAAAGCGTTGACTTCCCGGCGTTGGCGCTGCCCACCAGGTACACGTCCCCTTTGTACTTCCAGGACTGCTGCAGGCTGGAGATCAGACCCTCGATGCCATACCCGGTCTTGGCGCTGATCAGGTGGATGTCGGTCACCTGTCCGCCAAACCCGGCGTCCTCGCAGTACCGAACGAGCTGGCGTTTGATTCGCTGCAGGTAGTTGGGCGAGTCCCCCGGCAGCAGGTCGATCTTGTTGCCGAGGACAACAACGTGCTTGTTTGTCCCCACCAGGTCGGGCAGGTCGGGGACGATGGAGTCGGGGACGTCCAGCAGGTCGACGATGAGCAGCACCAGCGCCTTGAGGGGGCGGATCTGCCGGACCACATCCCGGTACTGGTCCGTGGACATGTGCAGGTTCAGGGCTTTGTGGTGGTGGGTGAGGAGGTGGCAGCGCTGGCAGGTGGCGCCGCTCAGACGCTCCTCCTGCAGCAGCGCCTTGTACTTCTCGCTGGGCAGGTACCCGGGGACGTCGGTGGCAGCGCAGTGCAGGAGGGCGCCACAGCCCGAACAGCAGGTGTCGCTGATCGGTTCGTCCACGTCTGGGGTACCGAAGACTTTATGCTCCCCTCGCCCCGCCGCCTTCTTCTTCTTCTTCTTCTTATTCCTTGCCGCCACTAGCTCCTCATCCAGCGGGAAGTCCACATCGTGGAACTGGATGAGAGAGTCTGGCTCCACCTCCCGCTGGGCCACGCCCCTCAGAGCCAGCAGCTGGCGCTCCAGAGCTCGCAGCGGTCTCTGAGGAGGAACACGTGAATCCGCCGGAGAGCCAGTAGGAGGAGGAGGAGGAGGAGGAGGAGCAGAGGAAGATGAGAGGTCCTCCTCTGGATCTGATCCCACAGGAGAGAAAAGAGTCACTGTGGGATTTGTAGTTTTATCACCATTTACTTCCTGTTTTATTTGTTTGTTGACAAACTGTTTGCTGTGATTATTAATTATAAACAGGGTTATATCATATTTATACAATATATTATTATTATTATATTATTATTATTATTATTATTATTATTATTATATAACAATAAGATGTTATCTATTGTATGTATATCTTCTTGTATAGTCTAGTATCTATTATGCATGCTTTATATCATATCATATCTTGTATATATATATATATATATATATATATATATACACATGTGTGTACATATGATATATATATTGTGTTTATATATTACAGTATGTATGTATGCACACCTTGCACAGGCTGAATATATGACACATGTTTAGATTATATCAATATTAATGTATAATATCTATGTGTATACATGTATATCTGTTCAGTCATCATATTATATATATACACATATTATTATTATTATTATAAATATGTTTAATATTATTATTATATACTGTTATTAACAATAACACTACCATCATGTCATCAGTACTATTACCACCATCTTGTAACTATAACTTTTTGCACCTTACCTACTTATTTATCTTTTTTTTATCTTTTCTAAGTATTTTATTCTATTGTTATATTTTATTGTATTTTAATGTACCTGGCTGCTATGACGACCCAGTTTCCCTCTGGGGATTAATAAAGTCTATCTATTTATCATTATTACCATTATTGTCGTTGTTGTTATTGTTGTTATTGTTACAATGTGGTGCATTAAAGCTCCACTGTGTCATTGTAATATCATTTTTATAGGGATGTTTTCATCAGTGTTTAATCAGCTGAAAGTATAGAAGGAGACATTTTTATCTACAGAGGGAGCGGGTCCGCCATGTTGAACCGCCATGTTTCTACAGTAGCCCAGAATGGACATACCAAACTCTGACTCTGGGAAGAGACTGTACTGTAGTTTATCACTCATTAGTTGTAATATATCTATCACATCACAGACAGATGCAGAAAAACTAATCCATGCATTTGTTACTTCAAGGCTGGATTACTGCAACTCTTTATTATCAGGTTGCCCCAATAAGTCCATTAAAACGCTCCAATTAATTCAGAACGCTGCAGCACGAGTACTGACAGGAACTAGAAAAAGAGATCACATCTCTCCTGTACTAGCTTCTCTGCATTGGCTCCCTATAAAATGTAGAATAGAATTTAAAATCCTCCTCCTCACCTATAAAGCTCTTCATGGTCAGGCCCCTTCATATCTTAAAGAGCTCATAGTACTCTATTACCCCTCTAGAACACTACGTTCTCTGAATGCTGGGCTACTTGTGGTTCCTATAGTCTCTAAAAGTAGAACAGGAGCCAGAGCCTTCAGTTACCAAGCTCCTCTCTTGTGGAACCAGCTTTCTCGTCTTGCAGATTCTTGTCGATCCTGGTGGAGCCTCCTGCCATGGTCCTGCTAGATTGCCATTGCCAATACTGTTGTTGCTGTGCACCTGTCTGTCTGTCTGTCTGTCTGTCTCTCTCTCTCTCTCTGTCTCTCTCTCTCTCTCTCTCTCTCTCACCCCAACTGGTCGAGACAGACGACCACCCACCTAGAGCCGGAGGATCTGTCCTAGGTTTCTGCCTTTTAACAGGCAGTTTTTCCTTGCCCTTGTCTCCAAGGTCTTGCTCATGGTGGTACTGTTGGGTCTCTGTAAATAATGTTATAAAGAGTTCGGTCTAGACCTGCTCTATTTGAAAAGTGTCCTGAGATAACTTCTGTTATGAATTGGCGCTATACAAATAAAATTGAATTGAATTGAATTGAATATATAACGTCACTGATTGATCCACACTGGACACACACTGTTGGATTCTGTCACTATTCTGTCAGTACTGTAGGACTCTGTAGGACTCTGTCAGTACTGTAGGACTCTGTAGGACTCTGTAAGACTCTGTAGGACTCTGTAAGACTCTGTAAGACTCTGTAAGACTCTGTAAGACTCTGTAAGACTCTGTCAGTACTGTAGGACTCTATGAGACTCTGTAGGACTCTGTCAGTACTGTAGGACTCTATGAGACTCTGTAGGACTCTGTCAGTACTGTAGGACTCTGTAAGACTCTGTAGGACTCTGTAAGACTCTGTAAGACTCTGTAAGACTCTGTAAGACTCTGTCAGTACTGTAGGACTCTGTCAGTACTGTAGGACTCTGTAAGACTCTGTAGGACTCTGTAAGACTCTGTCAGTACTGTAGGACTCTGTCAGTACTGTAGGACTCTGTAAGACTCTGTAAGACTCTGTAAGACTCTGTAAGACTCTGTAAGACTCTGTAAGACTCTGTCAGTACTGTAGGACTCTGTCAGTACTGTAGGACTCTGTAAGACTCTGTAGGACTCTGTAAGACTCTGTAAGACTCTGTCAGTACTGTAGGACTCTGTCAGTACTGTAGGACTCTGTCAGTACTGTAGGACTCTGTAAGACTCTGTGAGACTCCGTGAGACTCTGTAGGACTCTGTCAGTACTGTAGGACTCTATGAGACTCTGTAGGACTCTGTGAGACTCTGTGAGACTCTGTCAGTACTGTAGGACTCTATGAGACTCTGTAGGACTCTGTCAGTACTGTAGGACTCTATGAGACTCTGTAGGACTCTGTCCGTACTGTAGGACTCTGTAAGACTCTGTAGGACTCTGTAGGACTCTGTAGGACTCTGTAGGACTCTGTCAGTACTGTAGGACTCTGTAAGACTCTGTGAGACTCTGTGAGACTCTGTAGGACTCTGTCAGTACTGTAGGACTCTATGAGACTCTGTAAGACTCTGTAGGACTCTGTCCGTACTGTAGGACTCTGTCCGTACTGTAGGACTCTGTAAGACTCTGTAGGACTCTGTAGGACTCTGTCAGTACTGTAGGACTCTGTAAGACTCTGTGAGACTCTGTGAGACTCTGTAGGACTCTGTCAGTACTGTAGGACTCTATGAGACTCTGTAAGACTCTGTAGGACTCTGTCAGTACTGTAGGACTCTGTCCGTACTGTAGGACTCTGTCAGTACTGTAGGACTCTATGAGACTCTGTAGGACTCTGTCAGTACTGTAGGACTCTGTAAGACTCTGTAGGACTCTGTCAGTACTGTAGGACTCTGTAAGACTCTGTGAGACTCTGTGAGACTCTGTAGGACTCTGTCAGTACTGTAGGACTCTATGAGACTCTGTAAGACTCTGTAGGACTCTGTCAGTACTGTAGGACTCTGTCCGTACTGTAGGACTCTGTCAGTACTGTAGGACTCTATGAGACTCTGTAGGACTCTGTCAGTACTGTAGGACTCTGTAAGACTCTGTAGGACTCTGTCAGTACTGTAGGACTCTATGAGACTCTGTAGGACTCTGTCAGTACTGTAGGACTCTATGAGACTCTGTAAGACTCTGTAGGACTCTGTCAGTACTGTAGGACTCTGTCCGTACTGTAGGACTCTGTCAGTACTGTAGGACTCTATGAGACTCTGTAGGACTCTGTCAGTACTGTAGGACTCTATGAGACTCTGTAGGACTCTGTCAGTACTGTAGGACTCTGTCAGTACTGGTACCGGTCTCGGGGTCTCACCTGTATATTCCAGAAACACGAACTGCTCCTCCAGGTCCGGGTCCACGGTGGAGCTCCGGTCCGTCCTCCGGTCTCCGCTGCAGAGCCTCAGGGTCAGGGTCCGACCCGCAGCGACCTCTGAGCCAGGCACTGACCCCGCCCGGGCCGCCGCGGGGACGCAGCGGGCAGAAAACCGAACCCCCCGGCACAGTGCCCGGCGGACGCTCACTTGGATCACCTGGAACATGTCGGACTACACCCGAACCGGTCTGAGACCCATCTGAGACCTGAACCCACGAGACAACTCCAGCAGCCACTTCCTAAACGGATGTGACGTAAAACGCGTTGTTGTTTATGTTCCGGTTAAAAAACCGAAATAATTTTAAATCAAATATTTAATTCGCGAATCTTCGAATAATCGATACAAGACCGATATAATACTCGATACAGGACCGATATAATAAACTGATACAGGATCAATAAGCGGAAATAAAAACATTTAAACACCGTGGCGTCCGAGAGCAGACAGGAGGTCTCACTCTGTGTCGCATTCAGGAACCAAACATACAACTAACTTTACTACGGAAGCCCTAAACCGTCAATGTCGAGATAAATGAACAGGAAGAAAACAAGCTCTGTTACCTTTGAGATGACAGCATTAAATGAATGAATCCATGAATCCATCCAGGGCTTCCGTACCTTACAGTTTCATTTAAAATACAACTTCTAAATAAAATAAATGTTTTTTATGTATAAATAATAAACATAAACATCTGTATATTTATTGACTTAAAGTTTGTTTATGTATGTTATTATAGAGTTATTAAAGCTTCTTCATATTTGATTTATTTATTTATTTTACTTTTCACTTTATATTCTTTCAAATATATTCACATATATATACATATTATATATATTTATATATATATAATATATATTATATATTTATATATATATAATATATATAAATATATAATATATATATAAATATATAATACATATTATATATTATATTGTAGGTTTTCATACAGTGGATTCTCTGTATACTGGTGCATAACAATAAACATAGAACAACAAAATGAACAACAACATATGAAAAATATTATAAAGAAAACATTTACAATAAGTAGTATGTAGTCAGCAACATAAATAGTACAAAATAATAATAATAATAATAATAATAATAATAATAATAAGTATGCAGCATTTGTGTTCCTTGTGTTTGCCTGTTTTCTCTACAGAGTTAGACCTCTTGTTGACAGAGGATCTTCGGCAGGCAGATAACTTCCTCTCTCCGTCTCATTCTGTTACTTCTCGGCCAACATGTTGAAGTTCAGAAGCTCCTCACTGAGATCAGCAGTCCGCCTGCTCTCTCCTGCTGCTCCTGCTGCTCCTGCTGCTCAGGTGAGTTCAAGTCCAGCAACCCTAACACACACTGTAACACACACACTGTAACACACACTGTAACACACACTGTAACACACACACTGTCTCTCTCACACACACACTGTAACACACACTGTCTCTCTCACACACACACACACTGTAACACACACACACTGTAACACACACTGTAACACACACACTGTCTCTCTCACACACACACACACACACACACACTGTAACACACACTGTAACACACACACTGTCTCTCACACACACACACACACACACACACACTGTAACACACACACACACACACACACACACACACACACACACACACACACACACACACACACACACTGTCTCTCACACACACACACACACACACACACACACACACACACACACACACTGTAACACACACACACACACACTGTAACACACACACTGCAGTTGGACCAGTTGCAGTAGATGTTGGACCATCAGTGAGTGAATTGAGGTGAAAGTTGAGGGTCTGTTGTTGATCTTTGGACTCAGAGTTTTAGATTAACCAGCAGCTGCAGAGAGAGAACCACCTCCTGTTCTCTGTACATTAATACTGTTACACCTCAGTTACACACAGGCTGACAGCAGCTTTACATTAACAGCACATTCAATCTGAATCACAGCAACGCACACACACACACACACACACACACACACACACACACACACACACACACACACACACACACACACACACAGTGGTTCATGGTCCACCGTCACGTATCCCACCTGTAGTGATTTATTGTGACCAGCAGGTGGCAGCATGAGTCTGTTCCTTTAAATCCAAACATTTAATATGAGGCGTCACAGCATTCAGTTATTGAACTTAACCAAATAAATCACAATTAAATGATTACTATAAGAATCTAATTAAACTGTAAAAACTGTAGTGTCCTTTAAATGGAAACTTTCAAATATTCTAGCTATTACTGTGCCAGTGTCAGTAGCGCAGTGGTCTAGTGTCAGTTACAGTAGTGCAGTGGTCTAGTGTCTGTCTCTCGCTCTCTCTCTCTCTCTCTCTCTCTCTCTCTCTCTCTCTCTCTCTCTCTCTCACCCCAACTGGTCGAGACAGACGACCACCCACCTAGAGCCGGAGGATCTGTCCTAGGTTTCTGCCTTTTAACAGGCAGTGTTTCCTTGCCCTTGTCTCCAAGGTCTTGCTCATGGTGGTACTGTTGGGTCTCTGTAATTAATGTTAAAGAGTTCGGTCTAGACCTGCTCTATTTGAAAAGTGTCCTGAGATAACTTCTGTTATGAATTGGCGCTATACAAATAAAATTGAATTGAATTGAATTGAATAGTGTCAGTGTCAGTGTCAGTAGTGCAGTGGTCCAGTGTCAGTAGTGCAGCGGTCTAGTGTCAGTTACAGTATTGCAGTGCTCTAGTGTCAGTAGTGCAGGGTCAGTAGTGCAGTGGTCTAGTGTCAGTTGTGCCATGGTCCAGTGTCAGAAGTGCAGTGGTCTAGTATCAGTAATGCAGTGATCTAGTGTCAATGTCAGTAGTGCAGTGGTCTAGTGTCAGTAATGCAGTGTGAGTATTGCAGTGGTCTAGTGTCAGAGTCACTGATCCAGTGTCAGTAGTGCAGTGGTCTAGTGTCAGTAGTGCAGTGGTCTTGTGTCAGTTTTAGTAGTGCAGTGGTCTATTGTCAGTAGTGCAGTGGTCTTGTCAGTGTCAGTAGTGCAGTGGTCTAGTGTCTGTAGTTCAGTGGTCTAGTATCAGTAGTGCAGTGGTCTAGTGTCAGTGTCACTTGTCCAGTATCAGTAGTGCAGTGGTCTAGTGTCAGTAGTGCAGTGGTCTATTGTCAGTAGTGCAGTGGTCTAGTGTCAGTAGTGCAGTGGTCTATTGTCAGTAGTGCAGTGGTCTAGTGTCAGAAGGGCAGCGGTCTAGTGTCAGTTACAGTAGTGCAGTGGTCTAGTGTCAGTAGTACAGGGTCAGTAGTGCAGTGTTCTGGTATCAGTAATGCAGTGGTCTAGTGTCAGTTACAGTAGTGCAGTGGTCTAGTGTCAGTAATGCAGTGTCAGTATTGCAGTGGTCTAGTGTCAAAGTCACTGGTCCAGTGTCAGTAGTGCAGTGGTCTTGTCAGTGTCAGTAGTGCAGTGGTCTAGTGTCTGTAGTTCAGTGGTCTAGTATCAGTAGTGCAGTGGTCTAGTATCAGTAGTACAGTGGTCTAGTGTCAGTGTCAGTAGTGCAGTGGTCTAGTATCAGTAGTGCAGTGGTCTAGTGTCAGGGTCAGTAGTGCAGTGGTCTAGTATCAGTAGTACAGTGGTCTTGTGTCAGTGTCAGTAGTGCAGTGGTCTAGTGTCAGTAGTGCAGTGGTCTATTGTCAGTAGTGCAGTGGTCCAGTGTCAGTAGTGCAGCGGTCTAGTGTCAGTTACAGTAGTGCAGTGGTCTAGTGTCAGTAGTACAGGGTCAGTAGTGCAGTGTTCTGGTATCAGTAATGCAGTGGTCTAGTGTCAGTGTAAGTAGTGCAGTGGTCTAGTGTCAGTATTGCAGTGGTCTAGTGTCAGTAGTGCAGTGGTCCAGTGTCAGTAGTGCAGCGGTCTAGTGTCAGTTACAGTAGTGCAGTGGTCTAGTGTCAGTAGTACAGGGTCAGTAGTGCAGTGTTCTGGTATCAGTAATGCAGTGGTCTAGTGTCAGTGTAAGTAGTGCAGTGGTCTAGTGTCAGTATTGCAGTGGTCTAGTGTCAGTAGTGCAGTGGTGTAGTGTCAGTAGTCAGTCTCTAAACCAGGTCTCTGTTCTCTCTGCAGCCTCGAGTGCATCTCTCCACTGGTCCCCAACAGGAACACAGAACCTTCTATGAGTTCCGCACTTACTGCATCCGTCCAGACCAGAACGCGGCCTTCCTCAAACTGACCAATGAGAAGATCCACCTTCGCACCGCCCACTCCGAACTGATTGGCTACTGGAGCATCGAGTACGGCGGCCTCAACAAAGTCTTCCATATATGGAAGTATGGTGAGTCTTCCTCCTCTTTAAACGTTCTTCTTCATCACAAGATTGGAAAAGTGTAAGTCCACCTCTTCCTCCTCTTCCTCCCCACCCCCCTCTTCCCCTCCTCAGACAGTTATTCTCAGCGGGCAGCAGTCCGGGCAGCCCTGGCTAAGGACCCGTCCTGGATCTCAGATTACCTCTCGAAGGCGATACCGATGCTGACGTCTCAGGACAACGAGGTCACCTACGTGGTTCCGTGGAGCCGGCTTCAGAGTCCGCCACAGGAGGGTGGTAAGCCCCGCCCCCCCACACTGTAAGATCTGCCCTTAGTGACATCACGTGTTTGTGATAACTACAGATGTGTTCCAGGTGTGTACGAGCTCGTCTCCTTCCTGATGAAACCTGGCAGTCCAGCAAGGTGGGGCAAAGCCTTCCAGGCTGCCATCAGCGCCCACGATGCACCAGGGTACGGCAAGCTGGTGGGAGCGTTCCACAACGAGTTTGGGCTCCAGAACAGAGGTATACTGTAAAACTACACTGTAAAACTACACTGCACACAGCACCGTAAAACTACACGGTAAAACTACACTGCACACAGCACCGTAAAACTACACTGTAAAACTACACTGCACACAGCACTGTAAAACTACACTGTAAAACTACACTGCACACAGCACTGTAAAACTACACTGTAAAACTACACTGCACACAGCACCGTAAAACTACACGGTAAAACTACACTGCACACAGCACCGTAAAACTACACGGTAAAACTATGCTGAATCTGTGTGTGTGTGTGTGTGTGTGTGTGTGTGTGTGTGTGTGTGTGTGTGTTGATGATGATGTCACTTGGCCAGTTCACGCCCTCTGGTGGTTCGAGAGCGCCGACCAGCGAGCTGAAATTCGACACAAAGCTCACACTGACGCCAGAGTTGTCGCTGCAGGTGAGACTCCGCCCACAACACACTGAGTGACATCAGACATTAATCATGTGACATATGTGACGACATAATGTGACATCATATGAATATTGATTATTACTTTATGAATGAGTCTGTTTCCCTGCAGATAAAATCAATCAACAATCAATCAGCACTAACTCTGTCTCTCTGTCTCTCAGTCAGAGACAGCGTCGTCCATCTGGACTCTCAGGAGAATAAACTCATGGTCCCGTGTCCCTTCTCGCCACTCAAGTAACTTCCTGTCCTCACACCTGCGTCTCCACGGCAACAGAGACAAACACTGTAACAGCCTGTAACCAAGCCCCACCCCTTCCCTGATGAACCAATCACAGCTCAGCATGCTGTTCATTAACAATTATTATTATTAACAATATTAATGTCAAATTATAAAAAATGAATAATTGATATTGAGTCAGTCAGTGTGTGAGCAGCAGTGTCCAATCCTGAGGTCTGGATGTTGGAGGTGGGCGGGGCTTCCTGTCTGATGTAAACAATAATAAACTGAGACATGAATGTTTGTCTGTTTATTGATTATGTTTTATTGTTATATATTATAAACTATATAACATAAATTATGACTGAGATAAAAATACACTTAACATTACAGTTCTTTCAATCTATATTTGATTTATTAATATTATTTTAAGATTTAAGATATATATTATATAGATATATGTATATTTTTTGTCATTGTTTATATATTGTTATATATAATTATATATATATTGTATATTGCTTATACCTTGTTAAACCGACACTTTAAAAGCTGTTAAAGAAAAAATGAATGAATGTAATCTGACATATTGAAACATTTGTTTTTCATTCATTAACACTAATATCTGATATTTAATATTAACGTTAGAATTTGTTTATTATCTGTAATAACTCACCTCAGTCAATCACTCAGTGTTCACACACACACACACACACACACACTGGGAGCAGTTAGGGGTTCAGTGCCTTGCTCAAGCGCACTTCAATAGTGCACAGGAGATGGAACTGGCACCTCTCCAGCTGGCAGTCTACACTCCATACTGTGGTCAGTCCCTACAGACTGAACTGATAGATATATAGATATATATAGATATATTATACACACTAAATATACACTATATAAACACTATATATGTATAAAACTAGAATTACTGGAAGCCCTTCTCTGTGACTTTGTGTTTATGTAGAAGACGTGACGTGCTACGGTAAGCGTACAGACTCATTCCCGGTTTACTTCCTGCTCTGTGTACACTGTTTGGTGCTGTAGCTCTGTCAGTGAACGCTAAATATAAATTAGTTTTACTCGTTACAGCGGTTATTTTCCCGCTTAACATTTAAACGTAGACTAGTTCTACTTAAACACTCGGAGTTACTCCTTCTTTTAGGGACTTTTCACTACTTTCAAAGTTTTTCATACACGCTAGTTTCATTAGCATTAGCAGTTAGCTATGGCTTCTCCCTCTCCCTCTTCCTCTGTCCTGCTCAGTGTGTCAGATGTTCAGTTATTCCTCTGCCTCCTTTAAAGATAATGGTACCTGTATTAAATGTAGTTTATTTACTGCGCTGGAGGCGAGGCTTAGTGAGTTAGAGGAACGGCACCGCACCACTGAGATATCTTTAGCCGCTATAGTTAGCCAGCCCCCAGTAGCCGGTGCGGTCCGACCGAAGGTAGCTTCTGTTAGCTCTGTAGATCCCCGGTAGTTCCCGAGCAGCCGGGCAGACAGGGAGGCTGGGTGACTGAGCGAAGGAAGACTAGAACGGCGAAGCCCACAGGTCACCACCAACCGCTTCACGTTTCTAATACATTTTCCCCTCTCAGCGATACACCCGCTGAGGAACCAACTCTGGTTATTGGCAGCTCCATAGTCAGAAACGTGAAGTTAGCGAAGCCAGCGGCCATAGTTAAATGTATCCCTGGGGCCAGAGCGGGCGACATTGAATCCTATTTAAAACTGCTGGCTAAAGATAAACGTAAATACAGTAAGATTGTTATCCACGTCGGCGGTAACGACACCCGTTTACGCCAATCGGAGGTCACTAAGATTAATGTGGAGTCGGTGTGTAATTATGCTAAAACAATGTCGGACACCATAGTTTTCTCTGGACCCCTGCCCAATGTGACCAGTGATGACATGTATAGCCGCATGTCGTCATTCCACCGCTGGCTGTCGAGGTGGTGTCCAGAAAACGATGTGGGCTTCATTGATAACTGGAAGCCTTTTGGGGAAAACCTGGTCTGATTAGGAGAGACGGCATCCATCCCACTTTGGATAGAGCGGCTCTCTTATCTAGAAATATGGCGAAGTTTATCTCTAAAACCTGACAGTCCAGAGTTAGGACCAGGAAGCAGAGCTGCTGTCTTACACACTCCTCTGCGCTTTCTTTAGAACAGTCACCCACCCAAAACCCCATAGAGACTGTGTCTGTCCCCCGACCACCTAAACTATTTAAAGAAATAAAAACAAGAGGAGTTCAACATAAAAATCTAATAAAAATTAAAACCAACTCCTCAGTAGCACAAAATAAGAGAATGAAATGTGGGCTGTTAAATATCAGGTCTCTGTCCTCTAAAGCTGTTCTAGTGAATGAATTAATATCAGATTATGATATTGATTTACTTTGTCTTACTGAGACCTGGTTGTCCCACGAGGAGTATGTTAGCCTAAATGAATCCACCCCCCAGTCATATTAATACTCACATTCCTCGAGGCACTGGCCGAGGAGGTGGAGTAGCAGCCATATATGATTCGAGCGTTTTAATGGACCCTAAACCTAAACTAAATTATAATTCATTTGAAAGCCTTGTTCTTAGTCTTTCTCACCCAAACTGGAAAACACTGCAGCCAGTTCTATTTGTTATAGTGTACCGCGCTCCTGGACCGTACTCTGATTTTATATCTGAATTCTCAGAGTCTTTATCAAGTTTACTCCTTAAATCAGATAAAGTAATTATTGTAGGTGATTTTAATATTCATGTGGATGTTGACAATGACAGCCTTAGTAATGCATTTATATCATTAATAGACTCAATTGGCTTCTGTCAGAGTGTAAATAAACCAACTCATTGTTTTAATCACACTCTTGACCTTGTTCTATCATATGGCATTGATATTGAACATTTAATAGTCTTCCCACATAATCCTTTCCTATGTGACCATTATTTAGTAACTTTTGAATTCATACTATTAGATTATAAGCCATTAGGCAAAACTTCCTACAGCAGATGTCTATCTGACAGTGCTGTAGCTAAATTTAAGGAGGAGATTCCTTCAGTGTTTAATTCAATGCCATGTCTGAATTTAACAGAGTCCTATAATGACTTTAGTCCCTCTGAAATTGATAATCTTGTGGATAGTGCTACAGGCTCACTACGATCAACATTAGACTCTATCGCTCCTATAAAAAGGAAATTATTAAAACATAGGAGACTAGCACCTTGGTATAACCACCAAACCCGCCAGTTAAAGCAAATAGCTAGGAAATCTGAAAGGAAATGGCGCTCTTCCAAATTATCAGAATATCGCTCAATTTGGCAAGATAATCTTAAAACCTATAGAAAGGCCCTCCGTAATGCCAGAGGAGCCTATTACTCAGCACTAATAGAAGAAAATAAGAATAACCCTAGGTTCCTCTTCAGCACTGTAGCCAGGCTGACAGAGAGTCACAGCTCTATTGAGCCACATATCCCCATAAACTTAAGTAGCAATGACTTCATGAGCTTCTTCTATAATAAAATTATTACTATTAGAGAGAAAATTAATCACCAACTGCCATCAACAGTTATCAGTGGCTCTCCAAGTTCAGGGACTTCTGTCAATGTAAACTTAGATATATATTTAGACTGTTTTTCTGCTATCGATCTTCATCAGTTAACTTCAATCATTTCTTCATCGAAGCCATCAACCTGTCTGTTAGACCCGATCCCAACTAGGCTGCTTAAAGAAGTTGTTCCCTTAATTGGCACTTCTTTACTGGATATGATTAATCTTTCTTTATTATCAGGATATGTACCACAGTCCTTTAAAGTAGCTGTAATTAAGCCCCTTCTTAAAAAGTCCACTCTTGACCCAGGGGTTTTGGCCAACTATAGACCGATTTCTAACCTCCCCTTCCTCTCTAAGATTCTGGAGAAGGTAGTCGCCAAAGAGTTGTGTGACTTTCTACATAACAATAGTTTATTTGAGGATTTTCAGTCAGGATTTAGAGTTCATCATAGCACAGAGACAGCTCTGGTTAAAGTTAATAATGACCTTCTGACTGCTTCTGACAATGGACTTGTCTCTGTACTTGTATTATTAGATCTTAGAGCTGCATTTGACACCATTGACCATAATATTCTTTTACAGAGACTTGAGCATCAAATTGGCATTAAAGGAACCGCACTAAGCTGGTTTAAGTCATATCAGATTGTTCGCAGTTTGTACATGTTAACGATGAATCTTCAATAAATACTACAGTTAGTCATGGAGTTCCACAAGGTTCTGTACTTGGACCAATACTATTTACTTTATATATGCTCCCTTTAGGCAACATTATTAGGAATCACTCCATTAACTTTCACTGTTATGCAGATGATACGCAGTTATATCTATCAATCAAACCCAATGAAATTAATCAATTATCTAAATTACAAACATGTCTTAAGGACATAAAATCCTGGATGAGCTGCAATTCTCTGATGTTAAACTCAGAAAAACGAAATTCTTGTTCTTGGCCCCCAAAACCTTAGAGACTCATTGTCTAAAGTTATAGTCACTCTAGATGGCATTAACTTGGCCTCTAGCACCACTGTCAGGAATCTTGGAGTTATCTTTGATCAGGATTTGTCATTTAACTCCCACATAAAGCAGACCTCTAGGACTGCCTTCTTTCATTTACGTAATATTAGAAAAATTAGACACATACTATCACAGACAGATGCAGAAAAACTAATCCATGCATTTGTTACTTCAAGGCTGGATTACTGCAACTCTTTATTATCAGGTTGCCCCAATAAGTCCATTAAAACGCTCCAATTAATTCAGAATGCTGCAGCACAGTACTGACAGGAACTAGAAAAGAGATCACATCTCTCCTGTACTAGCTTCTCTGCACTGGCTCCCTTTAAAATGTAGAATAGAATTTAAAATCCTCCTCCTCACCTATAAAGCTCTTCATGGTCAGGCTCCTTCATATCTTAAAGAGCTCATAGTACCCTATTACCCCTCTAGAACACCACGTTCTCTGAATGCTGGGCTACTTGTGGTTCCTATAGTCTCTAAAAGTAGAACAGGAGCCAGAGCCTTCAGTTACCAAGCTCCTCTCCTGTGGAACCAGCTTCCAGTTGTGGTTCGGGAGGCAGACACCCTCACCACATTCAAGAGTAGGCTTAAGACATTCCTCTTTGATAAAGTTTATAGTTAGGGCTGGATCAGGTGAGTCCTGAACCATCCCTTAGTTATGCTGCTATAGGCCTAGACTATCGGGGATTTCCCATGGTGCACTGAGCTACTCTCTTCCTCTCTCTTTCTGCACTCATTCATGTCCCTTTAATGCATGTTACTAACTCCACTTCTTCCCCGGAGTTCTTGTGCTTTCTCGTCTCGCAGGTTCTTATGGATCCTGGTGGAGCCTCCTGCCATGGTCCTGCTTGACTGCCATTGCCAATACTGTTGTTGCTGTGCACCTGTCTGTCTGTCTCTCGCTCTCTTCTCTCAGCCTCTCTCTCTCTCTCTGTCTTCTCTCTCTCACCCCAACTGGTCGAGACAGACGACCACCCACCTAGAGCCGGAGGATCTGTCCTAGGTTTCTGCCTTTTAACAGGCAGTTTTTCCTTGCCCTTGTCTCCAAGGTCTTGCTCATGGTGGTACTGTTGGGTCTCTGTAATTAATGTTATAAAGAGTTCGGTCTAGACCTGCTCTATTTGAAAAGTGTCCTGAGATAACTTCTGTTATGAATTGGCGCTATACAAATAAAATTGAATTGAATTGAATTGAATAATTAATAATTAATTATTATTGTTTGTTAATGTTTTCTTTTCTCTTTTTTTTCTGAATTTGTTTCTTGAGTTGGGGTCTACTGTTAAACATATAAAGTGATCAGTAATCAATATCAGTCAGATCAATGTGTGGGGCGTTAACATCAGTGTAATGATGATCAGAAGAATCAAACAGCAGACGGAGGATTTGTTTCATTTTATTGTGTGTTTGAGCTCCAGTAACAGTTCTTCTTCTTCTTCTTCTCCTCTGTCACATTAATCAATCGCTTCCTGTCATTGATCAGAGAATCAAATAGCTATGGAGGATTTCAGTGCAAAGACAAACCGATGGTGTGAACACATAAAGTGCTAAAGCTCCTTCAGTCTGATCAGGAATGTGAAGGAGAGACGATCGATCGGATCAATCAATCAATCGATTGATCAGCTGTTTGAGAACTGTTCAATACTGTAGTGTGCTTCCAGGAGCTGCTGAGGTATTTCACTGCTTCACACCAAACTAACAAATCTCTTTATCACCTTTTCTTACAAAAACTAGAAAATCAGATTAACTCTTCTCTGTGCGGCGCTCTGCATCGAGCGCTCTGATTGGCTGTTAAACACTACAGGAAACAGTAAAGCCGCCTCGCTAAAATAAAACCAGTTACTCAGATATATAAATAAACTCTGATAAAAACGGAATCAAACGTTTTTTAAAAATTGGCCGTTTGAAATGATTTGGATTCTTCATCAGACCCTGAACAGTTCATTAGAGGATGAAACACGTTATTCAAGTTTTCTAACACTCAGTCTGGCCGGCAGTGACGGCGGTCAGCGGCGGCAGCGGGCCACTTGGCGCCTCCGCAGGAAATCATTTGCATTGACTGGCATAAGGCAGCAGGTGACCACGCCCATAGTATTCAAATCAGTATGACATCACGACAGGTGAGGAAGGGGCGTCCTCTGCAGCAGGTCGAGTCCAGGCTGAAGCTCCAGCCTCCTAAAACTTGATCACATGACGCTCTCCCTCAGCGCCGCCCCGCCCTCAGCGCTGCCCTGACTCGAGCTCAGAGCGGGAACCTCGATGGTGACGTCCTTCCGCCTCACGGAGTTGTCTTTGGAGTGATAGTCGTCACTCTGGTCCTTCGCAAAGTTCACAAACACCTGAAAGAAACAGACGTACAGTCAGAATCAGAGCAGTGAACTAAAGGTTTCTCCATATTAAGACCACATTTCCCATCAGCCCCATTACCTTCCTGTCCGGAATGAAGAATAATGTTTGCTAACGGCTGCAGATGAAGTCTAAAGTCAAAGCTAACATCACTGCAAAGCTCGTTGTGTTATTGTCTGTGCTTTAGTTAGATAATGTTAGCTTGATTGCTAATAAATTGCTAGCTAGATAACAAAGCAGAATTGTTCTATACACTTTAGCTTTGTTGGCTAACATCATTTATTGATGGCTCCAGCTACAACAACAACAACAACAACAACAACAGCTGACTGTTGATTTTAGCCATCAATAAATGATATAGTGGTACAAAGCTTACGATAGCTTTCTGCTAGCCAAGAACGATACAAGGCAGCAGCAACCTTCGTGGTGTAGGAACATATAGTGTGTGTGTGTATATAGTGTGTGTACCTGGTCCAGGTGTGTGTGTGTGTGTGTATTTGTGTGTATATAGTGTGTGTACCTGGTCCAGGTGTGTGTGTGTATATAGTGTGTGTACCTGGTCCAGGTGTGTGTGTGTGTGTATATATAGTGTGTGTACCTGGTCCAGGTGTGTGTGTATATAGTGTGTGTACCTGGTCCAGGTGTGTGTATATATAGTGTGTGTACCTGGTCCAGGTGTGTGTGTGTGTATATATAGTGTGTGTACCTGGTCCAGGTGTGTGTGTTTGGTGTGTGTATATATAGTGTGTGTACCTGGTCCAGGTGTGTGTGTATATAGTGTGTGTACCTGGTCCAGGTGTGTGTGTATATAGTGTGTGTACCTGGTCCAGGTGTGTGTGTATATAGTGTGTGTACCTGGTCCAGGTGTGTGTGTATATAGTGTGTGTACCTGGTCCAGGTGTGTGTGTGTATATAGTGTGTGTACCTGGTCCAGGTGTGTGTGTGTGTATATATAGTGTGTGTACCTGGTCCAGGTGTGTGTATATATAGTGTGTGTACCTGGTCCAGGTGTGTGTGTATATAGTGTGTGTACCTGGTCCAGGTGTGTGTGTATATAGTGTGTGTACCTGGTCCAGAGTGGTCTGAGTGACGGAGTAGTCCTCGATCCTGAGCGTCTCTTTATTTTTGGCCAGAATGGAGAAGATGTGTGTGAGCGAGGTGAGCGAGGAGGGCAGCTGGTACTGCAGCATGTTGCGGTGTTTCTCCTTCAGCGTGCTGCCGTTCAGCTCACTCTCGATGAACTTCATGACGGGCAGCAGGTCGGGGTCGGGCCCCGCCACCCTCAAGATGATGGTGTACCCGTCACCAAACCTAATGCACAAAACCGCCATTTTAATAAGCTGCTGCTCAGAGATCCTGTGTGTGTGTGTGTGTGTGTGTGTGTGTGTGTGTGTGTGTGTGTGTGTGTGTGTGTGTGTGTGTTACCTGTTCTTCAGATGTTGGACGCTGCCAAGACATCTGAACCTGCCGTTCACCATGATTGCCATCCTGGTGCACAGAGCCTCACACTCCTCCATACTGAGAGAAAAACACAGAGGACATTTAATGAAGACACTGACTGAGGACAAACATCTACCTGTCCTTAGGTGTGTCTGTCTTCCAGTGGACATATCAGTATATGTGTGTGTGTGTGTGTGTCTGTGTGTGTGTCTGTGTGTGTCTACCTGTGTGTGTCTACCTGTGTGAGGACAGACAGTGTGTAAGGACAGACAGTGTCTCTACCTGTCTGAGGACATACAGTGTGTAAGGACAGACAGTGT